TTTCTGACCCCCTCATCCGATAACCGAACCGGCCGGAGTATCCGGGAACCGGATAGCTCCAAGGCCTCATCCGACATCCGGAACCGTCGGATGCTCCGTCGAGTATCCGACGGATTTTCGGTTTCGGAGCACATCTTGACTTGAAATGACTTCGTAATTTACTGCAAGCTTGATAAAAGACCCTTCTTTCTGTTTGAAGTTCATCGGATTTTATAAATTCTCAATCAATTAATTTACATAGAATGCTATCTTTTGACCATACATAGATTACGATCATCACTTTATCAACTTGATTTGATTTTTGTTTTAATTTCCGTTGACTCTATTCTCTCGTTAAACAGATTTCTAAACCAAAACAAGCCTTCCTTATCACTTCTCAGACTCTCCTTCTGAAACTCGATTCCTCCAAGATCTCAACAAAACTTTATATCTTACACATATCTTCATAACCAAATCAAAACCTCATCACCAAACCAATCAAAAACAATGAATCAAGCTAATCGTAGAAAACGTGAAACTCAATCCAAACCATCATCAAGCTTATCATTATCATCATCAATGTCATCATCATCACCTAAACCAAAAAACATAAATTGTAAAATCATACCAAAGAATCAAGCAGCATTTGTTTCAAAATTATTTAAGATTTTGGAATTAGAAGAAAAACGTTTGATTAGTTGGTCTACTTTAGGTGAAAGGTTCTTGGTCTTTAATCCAATTGAATTTTCAAAATTAATTTTACCTTTACATTTTAAACATAATAATTGGCAAAGTTTTGTTAGACAATTGAATATGTATGGGTTTCATAAGGTATGTAATCTAGTCTAGAGAAATATATATGTATTTCAGAATTCCCTTCTTTTTTTGATTTTTCTTGTTTACCTTGTTTACCTTTTTTCCTTCTTGTTCTACCTTTTATTTTCTTCTCGGGGGGTCATTTCACTTATTTGGTGTGTTCCTTTGTTTGATAAACAAAAAGGTTCATAATTCATCAACTTCTGGTCATGCATGGGAATTCCGTCATCCACATTTTCGTAAAGGAAGACCCGATCTGATCACACTAATCAAACGAAAATCAACCCGTAACAGTACAAGTTCGACCACCACCAAACCTACGATCCCACCAATCTCTTCAACAACCTCAATCCCATCAACATCACCAATTCCAACCCCTCCAGCACCACCACCTCACCCATTTCCTCAAATCTTAGCCGTACCACCTGCACCACAAATCTTATCGATTCCTCCACCACTGCCACCTCCTATACCTCCTCATCAAAGAAGAACCATAAGATATGATCCAGTAAGAGATCCAGGAGCTGTGACGATCTCTTCTAATCATTCTAATAACCACGGTGAACAAATTAGTCATGTTTTAAGAATGATGTTCGGATTGATTTCGGGTATGGTGAAAGATCCTTCGATGAATGATCAACGTACGGGTTCTTTTTTTCAAAAAGATTGATAAATTGATATATATATATCAAGAAGAAAGAAAACTAACTTTTTGGGGCGCTTTTGGTTTTGTAATCCGTAGTTGAAGCTACTAGATTAGCGATTATCAGACTTGAAGAAAGTTTACATACCGATCAAAGAATCGATCCTTCAAGTTCTAATGATCAATTCCAAAGGTTTAGTGAAAATCAAAACGCTTATCAGGATCAGGATCAACATCAGGATCCGAATCGAGATGAAGAACATGATGAAATAGAAGATGAAGAAATGGAAGAAGTCGAAGATGAAGATGAAGATGAAGAATTAGAAGAAACTGAAGAAACTGAAATCGAAAGTGATCTTAGTCGAGATTCTAGATCGATTTAAGTCATCTTCTTTTGATCATATCATCCATTCTCTTTTTTTCTTTTGTCAACGGTTTTTGACACGATTTGTCAAGGTTTTTTTTCATCTGATTTTTTAATCTAGAGAGATAAAATCTTATAAACAAAATAGATGTTGATTTTTGATAAATTGAATCTTGTTTTTTTATTGACTCTTTTTGTGGGACACAGTAGGGAGGTTTTTTTTTACTTAGAGTTGATTTGTTTCATATTAGGTTTTTTGGGGGGCTTTGAATTTTGTTTTTGTTTTTGGTCATTGAAAAAAAAAACTCAAAAAGTATAAATAATTGTAGAAGAAATAATTTAAAGAAGTGATCCTTAGATTTAGATCTAGATTAGATTTTATTTAAAAAGATGATTATAAAGAATTTTATAATTTTACATTGAATGTTGATTTCTTGAGATCATGAGAGAAAGGTTAAGGAATATTTTGATATTTGAAATCATGATGATTTGGAGGAGAAAAACATTCTTTTGTTAACTTTTCTTTTGTTGCATTTGGATGCAGTATTTTTGACAAATAATCAAAACTATCATTTTACCAAAACCACTCAGGTAAAAAGGAAAACTCAACAGAGATTGATAGAAGACCCTCTGATTGAATTTAGTGTTTATTTAATTTTAAATCAGATCTAAAACAAATTCATTTTCCTATGGGGTTCTTGTTTTCTGAATGTGAAACATGTGGAGAGTTTTTCCCATTGGTTCTTTAGTATGAATTTAACATCAAAAGATGGTCTTCCCATGGACAAGCTGGTTTCCTCTGACCACATGGGTTTTACTTGAGCTCAAAAGTGTTGGTAAGTGTGTGAAGTTGCCATTGTGGGGGATGCAAGGATGGGTGTTGGCTCAAGATGAAATGTGAAGTGATGTAGTTCAATTCAAAGAGAATGAGGCCAAAAGTTTCAAGAGTTGAGTCAGTGCTTGTTAATTACGCAGAATTCTTTTACTCTCCCTACTTACAACTGTAAGTCAGTCTTTGATTATGATTATTTTCTTGCTCCAATTTCTTCTATTTTCTTCTCTCATTCATGATTGTTTACCAATCCATGATCTCATCATCTTTCAAAGAATTGATCCTCATAAGTCTTTAAACTTGTAGTGTATTGATCAAAAGTTAATACTCTGATTGGTCAATCTCAAGGAACAAAGCTTCACTTTAACACAAGTCTTTTTAGTAGAGATTCTATTTACCTAGATTGATTTCAAATTGAAACTTTTTTATCATTTTGATTGTTTTTTTGGAAATTTCATCTGGTTTTGTAGTGCTTCTCTAATAGTAAGAGGTCTGAACTGGTAAAACACATTCAGATTTTTCTCAAAATTATATACAGCTTATTGATTTTTACCTCAATAAACAAGTTTACTCCTGTTTACTCCAACACACAAATGAATGAGAGCATTTGAAAGTTGTACGCCTGCCAAAACCACAAAAAACACTGAAGCCAATTGATCAGAGTGATCAATATTTCATTGACTGCAAGCACTATAGGTGTTCTATGAGCAATTAAACCACTTGATATACATAGTTTCTTGTGGGTATCATTCGACACATGTCGTATCATTGTGTTCAAAATGTGACAAATACTGTTATCTGCATAATTGGCAATGTCCCTCTAAATATGCAGGTGTTGAAATGTGTTATCCAGTATTCCCCAAAGTCATTCTCATACAGGTGGCCAAATGTGAGAAGTGTTGGACTGGACCTAGGGGGTTTAAGTAGAGTAAGACCCACAACTGAGGATGTTGGTAATGCCAGAGGCCCCCACTTTGAACCAACCAATAATCAATTGTCAAGGTTGGTATGAGGAGTCAAGGGTTCCTTTGCTTTAGGAACAGTTGGAGAAGGCTTGGACAAAGACGATGCAGGTACAGAAGCGTCGTTGCCTTTGGCAGAGTTGAATGGAGTTGAGAATGATCCGATTTTGAACAACATTGAAAATAATTGATAGATGATATATTGAGACTTTATCAAGATTTTTTCACTGGACTTGGTTATCGTGCTTAATTTATTTGATAACGAGGCGATTCTGTCTATGTGACCAAACTTTGATTGATATATGACGATATGATACTTTTGTTCATACAAAACTTATCAACACAATGGATCGATGGACGATAAGAATATCGAACGAATGAAACAGTTATGTAATCAAACAGCAATGACTTGCCAATGGATGCCTATCATACCATGCGCTGAATTCTTCGAGGGCGCGGACGCGGCCGCGAGGAGCTTATTATTGCTATTCGATAATTTCCTTTCATATCATAGACTCGCAGCAGATACATGTGAACCGATCGAAGTAGCGCCGCAAAATGTTTATACCATCCGACACGTTACAGTTGGACGTCGTCAGATAACTTCATCATCGCCCGAAGAACATCCAGTGAGGAAGACAAATCGGCTTGGCTTTTTCGGCGGTTTTGTCTATTGATCCACTCACATCTCATAGCTCTACACCATGCGACTTTTTTAAGATCGGGTGGAAGCGGGCCGCTGCTTTGTCTTTGATGATTGGTCTGTTCAAACCACGATACATAGATTTGACTCATCGCCGGCATGATGGCAAATTTAAAGATATGATTGTTGACCTATGCTCATCTTAGACTTGGCTCAGCTGTTGAGTATAATTCAAATTCAGTCAGGTATATATGCGAATCTGGAAGAGTCCGTCTCAAATGACTGAGGCGTGTGGAGAAGTTCGTTTTACTGTCTATTGGAGTCTGCTTATAGCAGCACTGGTTGTCCATACCTCCAAGATACAGCTGGATACAGCCTATGTATTCGCGATTGCTGACTTGCTCCGATAATGACTGGATCCATGACCCGTCAGAGATGATTTTTATGGCAAGTTTTCAGGGAAACTAGCAATATGAAAGAGCCCGTCTTGTTTGATTGCAAGTGTTTGCTTGCTCGTGCTCGTAATTTGCTTGATCTCTAAAAAATTGTTATCGAAAATTGCAACAAATTCAGCTCCACTCGATATGCATAAAACTCTTCTGTTGACTGGACTCATCGCACTACCCTTGGTATATGCACTGAGTGCGTCCTGCGGTTCAAATCCAGTATCTATATCTGCACAGCCTCTACTCAGAGTCAAGATGCTTAGAAAGCTCATTTCAACCTGTGTCCGCAATCCTTCACCATTGCAGTGGATGAAACAAACCAGCGTACGAGTATATGTGAGTTGTGATGTATTCACAACTCCAGATTCTACTATCAAAGATCATACGCTAATCGTCAAAAGGGCAAAAAATGGGGGAGGGTTGCAGGCAATTTTGTGAACCAACTGGGCAATTATGGGACACAGCGGTCACGCCAGGCAGAACTCATGGAGATGTCTTCTGAAGAGCCTGCTATCACATACAATGAAGACCGAATAGATCCAGTAGGTTAGTGATCAATTCCAAGCAGACTTGGTTTTCCCCTCTCATCTACTGACAAACTTGACTACTAGAATTTTTTACGCACGCTTCAAAAGGCTTTTTCAATCCTCTACGTGATAGCAACTTAGAACCAGAACCAGGTATGTGAGAAGAAAACTTGAAAGAATATTAAAAACGATTTCACATGTATTGATTTGATACTTTCCTTTCTTCCAAAAAATAAAAGATTCCGCCAACAAGTGTTTCTCTTTTTTTTGGGAATGGGAATATACCAGCGCTGAGGGAAATCTTATGCATGGAACTGGCACCACAAGATTTTCGGCAAGAAATGGATTGATCACGCGAGTGAAGATTGAATTTACAAGAGGGATAATTCCAATAGATGATTGACTTGGCCATTTAGGACCGTTCCCCAAATTATCCCTACACTACACTACAACAATGATATGTATGAAATGGCCTGCAATGGGCCTATTTCACAAAAACAAAAAATGCAGATTCCAGTCCGAAATCCAGAAACAAGAAAAATACCCACGTTGTGGGACCTAGGCCACCTAAACCAACAAATTAAGTGTGTTTTCCAAAAAAAACATGACAAGATATGTTGCAATAAAACCACACTCATAACTTTCATAAATACAATAAAAGTGTAAGATTGAATGACTGGTCATTTATTGCAGAAATGGGTATATGAGCACCTCAATGAACCAGGCTTCCTTGCTTTGGATTGAGCAATGAGAGCTTTACTTGTTGACCAACTGAGTAGTTTGAAGAGTTGAGTTTTCATTACCTGAAAGATATTCAAATTATGCATGGGTAAAGAAGAATGATGAAGATGTGATAAAAAACCAAAGACTGACTTATAAGGGGAGTCAGTAGGACAGTTCTGCTTTTTGCAAGGACTGATCCAAATCCTGGAAGGAGCCATTAGCTTCAGCTTCATTAACTTGAGCTTTGTCCCTTCCCATTTTACCTTGAGCCAACACTGGTTTTTACAGCCACCATAACTCCTTGCTCCTACCAAGGCTTGGAATTTGATTGCAAACCAAGTTCTTCCTTTTGCCTATTTAACTAAAGGAACATTGTGGTAGTTGGGAGGGAAGATCATCTGAAGATGTTGAATACTTCTTTAAGGTTCAATGGTTGAACTAAGAGCACTATGAAAACTCTATATAGTAAGTCAAACAATTAGAAAACTAGAACCATATAGTGCCAAGCATCAATGCTATATGAATCTTTAAATTTGATCAACTTCAAACTGGATGATCTCCCCATCCCTGGCTTGCAGAGCTACGCAGAATTAGCAGGTGGGAAAACAATATTGTAGTGAAGAAAAACTCCAGCTGAGCTTGATGGCTTTAGTGGTAGAACAGAACACAATTTTGGCCAAAGATTTAGTGAAGAGCACAATTTTTTGGCAACACTTTGCAGAGTTACAAGCCAAAAAATAATGTGTTTTCAATTGCAACAAAAAGCAAAATCAGATACAGTACTATACCATATCCATGGTGTTAATACTTCTCACAACGGGTATCTGGTATCATACCATGGAGGCCAGTACAATATGCAGTACCATAATTAAGAAAAGGGGCTTATTGGACCCCTCAGTACCATACCCGGCCCCACATATGGTACTATCAGATATCACTACATGCAAAGTGCTGACCCCACGGATGCGGGGTTGCGGTGACGCTGCACAAAACCCAAGGGGGGGGTCTTGCAAAAGCGGGGGGTCGATCCGGGGCACCCGCGGCATCCCCACTTTGCATGTAGTGTATGGTACTACTGAACTTGGATACGGTATGGTACAGTTCTGTTACTAGTAACGCATCTGTGGTTGTGTTGATATAGGTAAAAACCTGAACTATATGTTCTCCTTACATTTCTACTATCCCAGAGGTGCTGTGGAAGCTCCTATAAAAGGAGCTACCAGTCACTGAGCGCGCACAAATGGCAAAGCCAAGAGTATCTAGAATCCAAAAATAGTATTGCAAAAGCTAGGCCTAGCTCAACTGAAAATCAGGATCAAAGAAACTCCAGGCTACCAAGAAAATGTGTTTTGAAAGAACTAGGAAAAGCAAATGAGAGAGATAGAAAGAAATGAACAATCTGTACACTAATCTACTACGGTCTAATAACACCTGTCACACCTGTGATTGTGAGGTGTAACCTTACATGCTGTTCACCAAGTAGTCTACCAAAGTGATTTCGAATGGAAGCTAGCTTTGGGCACACTTGGTCCTTGGTTTTGATAGCTTGAGCTGATCACAAATAAGGAAAGTGACAATAAACTCTTTATTCAAATGGCACAGTACCAAACAATCTTTGAAGAATCTTCTAAGGAAGAATAGATAAAAAGCCAAGTACAGCTATTTTGTTTAGCTTAACAAAGCCCTCTCTGCGCGGCCACGTCCGCGCCCTCGCAGAGGGGCTTAGGACTAATCGTTGATTTTTGGCTTGAGCACTACACTCCTTAAGTGTCTCTAAGGAGTTTTTCGGGTTTTCACGCTTCCCTCACAAACAAACTTCACCTGACTCCGCAGGGAAAGTTGTTCTGATAAAAATTCTACATAATCTCGTAGTCTAGCATCATGGCCAGTGTGAACGGTGTGGCCAAAAAAGGACGTTGATGATTCTTACAAAACACCTGTAGCAATGAGCCAAAAATCGGGTACGGTGCAAATTCACCCTGTATGCCCCTTTACAAGTGAGACATAAGGCTTGAAAATTCCCTCAAGAACAGCATGGTGGGGTAGTGTTTCTCTTGTGATAACAAGATATACACATGTAGAAAATGATCATGAACAACTTTCCCAGCAGGGCCAAGTGAGGTTGGTTTGTGAGGGAAGCGTAAAAATTCGAAAAACTCCTTAGAGACACTTAAGGAGTGTAGTGCTCAAGCCAAAAATCGACGATTAGTCCTAAGCCCCTCTGCGAGGGCGCGGACGCGGCCGCGCAGAGAGGGCTTTGTTAAGCTAACTATTTTGTTATATGTTGGACATTGAGAAAAAATGAAAAATTTCAAATTTCAGTTTTTAACTACATTTAAACACAACAACCACTGTATTGTCTGGAGTTTAATCTGCTTTAAGTTAGTAAAGAACTTTGTTATCTTTTCACAAGTCCAACAGATAGTAAAACAGCAGTATATAAAGTAGAAAGGTTTTTTAGCAATAAAGGAATTCTAATTGTAAGGATTCACAAATCTAAAAGAGTATCCAATGAAGGATACAAGTCTTGGGGAATTTGACATGTGAGTTCTACCGTTTAGTAAATTCAAAATTGAAGATTTTTAAACGTGGTAAAGGATGAGGTCTGGTATTTTGCTGGAAAGATAGTTCACTTTTTCTATGACCACAAATAGTACCGTCCATCCGCTAGTTCAGACAATAATTATTACTACCACAAATACCACAACCTGCCATTTCACATTTAACGGAAGTCTCACATGAATATGAGGTACAGAAATCCTCCTCACCACGAGCGTTTCTGCCACCATCATCTTGTTCAAGAGAGGTACGTGATTTTCTACACATCGAGAACTCTACAGCCCCTTCTGCATCTTCTACAATTTCACACATCATTGGTATCATTGAGATACTTAAGATCAAGCAAAGTAAAACAATTTTTCTTTGGATACCAATCATAGTTGATGTAAACAGAAAATCTCAGTACAGATTTACTCGGAAGATAATGCTGGTTGTGCAGGAAGAAAGCTGCTTCAAGTAAAATTATGTGCGAGAGCGGGTGTGCGTGTTGGTGGGGTTCGTTTGTGGTCGATTGAGCAATTGTAATCCCTCAAGTAAGTGTAGTGGATGACAAAATTGAACGTTGATGATTTATAAGATGTTCTGATAGCTTTGACCGTGTTTTGGTTCATCAAGGAAAGATAAGAATGAAGTATCAATTTTTTACCGAGCTTCAGCTGTGGGAGGTTGTAATAAAGATTGATAAATCAAGACTCCCAAGACTTACCGGGAAGCTAAAGCGATGACAAATTGTGTATGGGTTGGGCTTTGATGAAAACCAATACTATGTGAATCAATCATAAGAGGGTAAAATGAGTGGTTGTATGTAAGCTCAATATATTCAACAATGATCTACATATCGTATATAGCCGATTGGCTGACAAAAAGTGCAGGGAATCATACCAAGGCAATTGTGCACGGTAGGCGAAAAGATTGAAGAGATGCTTGGATAGTGAGCAACTGGTCACCAAATGAGGTGCCCTTTTATATTCTATGAAGACCAGCTGACCAGCTGACTGTGCCCAACTCTTCCCGACCAGGTTCCCTTGCATCGCCTCCCGCAGATTGCTTTCATGTTGGGTTTCTGTCGAGTTTTGCATCGTGAAGAAGCTGATTGTGGTCTCGTCATGTCGCTTGATGTTTCGTTCTCCGCTTGGATCACGTAAATCATTTGGTGTTTTGTATCTCCTTTGACTCACACATACCCTCACATACCACAGCTTGAATGCTCTCGAACCTGATCGAGAGCACGTGATAATAGAACCTGTAGCAGCCTATCTTGATCTCAATTGAATTCAATTATCATTCATCATTCATAACAGTTAATTGTAAACCGGGTTCGCTATCATCTTCAAAAGAATGAATTCGATTTCCCCGCCGCGTGGCTCTGCATCACCTCAAGTCGGAAACAATGATTCACAGCTACAACGGTGCCACTGTACTATACTATTAGGGTACAGTACCAGTATAGTACCGGAATCACGGTACTATACTACCCAATACTAGTATCGGAAGGCCAAATTCAAAACAAAGTATCGTGAGTATCGGCTTTGAGACCACGATACTATCCAATACTGCACCACCAATACTCCACTTCCCAGCACACATCACCATGCCATCTGCAAAGAACCATCTACCACCATCATCCAGTGATCATGCTGATGAACCAGAAGAATCTTCAGATGAGTCCTCTGTGAAGTCTCACCTTTCAACAACAAACTCGACAACTTTACGTCGATCAACACGCCCCAGAGCACCATCAAGAGCTACATCATCTGTTGATTCCAATTCATCTCAGACTTTGAACCACTCCCAAAGGAAGCGTCAAAAGGTGGCTTCCAGTTCAAACCCCTCAAAAATATCTCGCGGAAAAGCTCCACAGAAAGTTAAGAAAAAACGCAAGACCAAGAAGGAATTACTTGCCGAAGCAGCAACATCAACTTCAGTGGCAAGTTCCTTTTATCTTGTTTTGTCTGATCCAAGCTGAGCCATATTCTTATTTGGATGGCTCAGACTACTTCATCAAATATACTTCAAAATCACCAATTCGATCTTGAACAGGGTTCCAATAAGGAGAATGAGAAAGTAAAGCCCCAAAAGGCGAGATCAATTTTTGCAAAGGTCAGGGATTACTTTGGTACACCCAAACAAGGTGACAAGGATGTAAGCCAAGGGTTATCTTACTGTAATCAACAATTTCTGACCTTTTCCAATTCATATCCTATCCAAGCCCGATGAAGGTCCATACCGTTCTTACCCTTGCTTATGGTGTAAGTCGCTTGTTCGAGGGGATACTGATACAGCCAAGAACCTCGAGGTTCATCGAGATGGATCAATGCAGGAGTCAAAGTCGGGACATCCTGGGTGTAAAGCACGATTGGAAGCCATTGAATCGGGTATCCATCTACCAGAAACCGCCTATAAAAGAAGATTGAAATTGAAAGAGAACGGTCAAGATGTAGTCCAATCGACATGGAAATTCGACAACAAGCTATTAAATCAAATCTTGATGTTTTGGATTCTTCGACAGGTGCTACCATGGAGCAGGATGCAGGATCCCATACTACGCGCTGCATTTAGGTACTCAAACCCCAAAGCTCACCTGTATGGACGGAGTTGGACAGCTCATGAAGCACATCGAGCGTATCTGTCTCTGAGTCATTGCGTGATGAAAACACTCAAGGTATGTTCATTTCACTTAATCGATGCCCATGCAATTCAAACTTATAAAACTCTTTGTTTTTTCTAGGAACTCGATATGACCATATGTCTCTCTCAAGATGTCTGGACGACCCCAGGAAATCGTTATGCGTTTCTGGGTGTAACAGTTACTTACATCGATCACAATTGGGTCTATCAAACTCGACACTTAGCTCTCAAGCTTGTCGCATGGTACCATAAAGGTGAATGGCTAGCTGAGCCATTGGTAGGTATTCTCAAGAAGAACGATTTGTATCAAAAGATCAGTCTTGTTTGATATCTTCTTCAAATTTTTCTTATCCTTCTGGTGATTGCTGATTTTTTTGTTCACATCATGCACCTTCTTGCTCAGACAACCAATTCAGGCTCAAACAACTATACGATGGCTACTGCAATGCACAACCGTCTCTCTAAGATTGCCCAAGAGGCTGGTGAAGAATACAGCTGGAATCCTGTAGACATGGTGGTAAAGTGTTTCTGTCATAAGATGTCATTAGTAGTAAATGCTGGTCTTGAGGCCCTTGGAGTCACCCCAGCACCTGCTCAAGTAGTTCGAAAGTCGGTACTTGGAAGCTTCCCGGTCAATGATCTTCTATCTGCTGTCGAAGAAAGTCTTGAAGAACAAGAAGAAGGACCGTCTACTGTCCACCAGAGTGCTCAAATCCCCATTTCCGATGATCTTATCAATCTGGAAGACCCTCTTGATTGTGATGAGCAAAACGATCCACTAAATGAGCCAGCTCACACTGTTGGGGACGATTGGTACAACGACAACAATTTCAGCCAATCTGCTCCATTTGTTACTCCTTACGCACCTACACATGAGCCGGTCTTTATTGTTCCACCCGCTACAGAAGATCAACAAGCTGCTTCTCATCTGGATGGTCTATTGAAGCGGGTAAGATTCTTTCTTTTCTCTAATTTATATTCATCTCTGTTTAGCTCATTTGATTGTTTCTCTTTATAGCTGGATTACGTCATTCGCAAACTCACGAGTTCATCTTCAATGCGAGCACTCTTAGCTGCGACTGCAGCTGCTATGGGACTATCGTTTGATGCACTGATTGCTGGTTATGGCATACGATGGAATATCAAGTGGGATAGCCGGTATTGTGCATGGAAAGCACGTGATGTGAGTGTTCTCCATCTCACTCAAATTTCATTTTATTTCATCCTAGAAAGTATTAATATCAGTTTCTGCCTATAGATTATAGACAAAATCCTTAAAAACAATCAGCGAGACAATGAAGATTGTCCAGCTTCTTCCAACACAGGTACACACAACCCTGCGACCAACTATGGTAAAGGCTGTTTTCTCAAGATCTCCTTCACCCCTGATGATTGGAAGTTGATCAAGGTGGTTAATCTAGAGCTCGAGGTGAGAATATTATCTTGTTTCATTTATAAAATACATCCTTAAATTTTCTGATCAATCTCATTTTGATAGCATTTTGCCCTGCTAACTAAACGAATGGAAGGTGATGGCCCGACCGGATCGATGGTAATCCAAGAATACCTTAAGCTCAAGAAGCGCTTGGAGTCAAGACTTCTCAACGCATCAACAACTTCTCCGTTGTATCCGATGCACTATGCAATGCTCACTCGAGTCAAGAAGTACCTTACCGAAGCAACTTCATCACACGCTCTCTTAATGGCAACCATGCTCCATCCCAGCTGGCGAGGCAGTTTTTTTACTACAGGTTTTGGTCCTCGATCTCCTGTCACTCAAAAAGCCAATAGACTCTTAGAAGATGCCTATCACATTCGAAAGAATCAACTTGAAATGTCCCGTTCTTCACCAGCTCCAGCTTCTGGGCCAGAAGCAAATGTTTCAAGCACCGAATGCAATGATGATTCCTACGACCCCATGTTGCATCTCCATGATGCACAAAAGGGAACCTCAACAATCGATGAACTGGCTGAGTATCAGCTTGGACGCGATGCACCCTCGAATGATGTCGCAATGGACCCCAAATTGGCATTGAAGTGGTGGCAGGCGAGTTTTTTTACGCTGATTTATTGCTCACAAGATAAGCAAAAACCTAATAAACAATCTCTTTTTCACCCGCTAGAGTCATGAGAACAAGTATCCCGTCCTATCAACATTAGCTCGCCAATACCTTGCTGTCAGTGGGAGCTCGGCTGCTGTTGAGCGGACGTTCTCATCGGCTGCGGATGTCTGTACCACAGACCGAGGCAAATTAGCTCCGAGGACAATCGAGCGCTGTGTGAGCAGTCGGCTATGGATTGCTAATGGAGTTCAGCTGGATTCAGAGTTTGAGGAAGCCTACCAGGTGATGCAAAAGTGTATTGAATTTGATGAAGCTGCTCGGTCTCAATGTGCAAACCAAGCTCACTTCCCTGGTGATTGAGATTTTCTCTACTCGTGTTGTTTGTTATAAAAAGTATAAAATGTCTATCTGACAAAATATATGTATATATGAAATTGTACAATGATCAACACATTTATCGGTGAAGTAATTGAAATCGATCCTTGAGTGGATTCATAATCTGATCCGACTGAATCTATACAAATTTGTTGAGATACCAAAGTCGAGAAGTAAAGAAAAACGATTTGATTTGAAGTCAAGGTGGACTTGGTTTCAACACCTTTCAGGCTTCTTGTCATCATTCTAGCTTCTGAGTTATGCGTCGAGCTGATCTCAAGGTCCGAAGCAATCAATGATGACAATAATCCTGAAAGGTGTTGCCTTTCAAATCGATAGTGAAAACCCAAGTCTCAGGTTCAAATATGAACCACAAATCATGATTTTTTTTCATGAAAACAGAGGGCCCAGCTGTGGTTTCCATCTTCAGATCTCATTTGGAAGATCGAGACCAGTCGAGACCAATATTAGCGGCGCCACTGTACTGATCTCTCTGTACTAAGGGGACAAAAGGCCAAGGGGTACATCTAAAGTCTCAGCCAGAAAATACATAGTATTTGGTTGCCATCTTTCCATATAGAATGAAGGCGAGCTTCTCATTTGGGCATCTCTCATTGAGGCATCTCTGGAATCCGCATAGCCAAATCAGATTCATTCAATATGGGTGAAGTATTGAAAGTATCGAACAAAACGATTCGATACTATGCTATACTTTGGGTAGTAGAGTACCGGTGCACACGGTACTGTACTAGTATCGGCCGATACTAGTACAGTATAGTACAGTGGCACCGTTGACAGCTATCATCACTGCGGCCTGCCGACATACTTGCCTCGGGTTGAGAAATCGAAGGCATGACCGGATGCATATGTCCGAGGTTTCAATCCGAGGCAATCTTATGCGTCATGAAATGGCGCGGATCAAATCTTCAGACAAGAGCTGTCCGAGGGCATAGGCCCGAGATTCAGAATACCTTGGATTGTGAGATCTGAGGGAAAAATGTTGGCAGTGCATATCATCATTCAAGTTAAATCATTCAAGTTAAAGAAGAACGTGTTTGGCAAAAAAAATGTGTTTGGCAGCAAAACTCCCAAAACCCCCAAATCCTATTCCATTTTTTGAGGTTTACGCGTCCCAACCAATTAAAGCCATGTTGATGTGTGCCACCCCAAATCATATATTTCCATCTTGATCTTCCAACAACCAAGTCAACCACCCTTGATCAATGTACCTCTGATTCCAACTGCTCATCTCTCAGGTATGCTTCCAGTGCTCCCCCATTTCTACATTCATACCTTCCCGCCTATCAATTCCTTCCACCATCACTTTGTCTTCATTGACCATCCTCACTGATCTGTTTACTCTCTTTTTGTTTGTTCTTGATGACTGACTATTTTTTTTGTCTTGGTTTATAGAAACTACTTGAAGGACATCTTTGGGCAGATGATGAAGTACTTAAACCTCAAACTGAACCTGTTCCTTTTGTAAGGTTTCTTTTGATCAGTCATTTTTATTCACAGATTGTTCCTGCTTTGCAAAACAAATCATCCAAAAACTAAATTCACCTTTGATCTTGTGATTTATTCAACATTGCATCTCTTGCCTACAACACAAAGTACCTTGATTGGATGGCAATTAGACGGTTGTGATACATCATATGTCTTTATTAAAGAGTATTTGAATAGGGTAAATGAGAGAAATCATTGAGTTTATTGGTTTATTTGGATGATCTTGAAGAGGTTCATTGTTTTTGACTTTTCTTAGAATTGCTTTAAATCTGTACTAATGCTTTTGGTGTAGCTCTTTATTAATCTTATCAGAACAATCTCAACCACCAACTTGAGTACAAATATCTTTAGAGAAAGTGATTTCATATATTAGTGATCAGGGATCATAACTGAGTCTGCTTGCACGTCAACAGGATCCAGTCTGGTATGTGGTCAATCCTGATGAGTGCGTTATCTGACTTTGTCCCAATGAATCTCAGTCTGTCTTTGTCCTCTCGATTCAACTCACCATGTTTGTGTGGTGTTTGCTTGTTGACAAGCGCACACAAGTTGCCTTTGTGTCTCATAGGCAGTCCGTGCGCGCTTGTCATTGAACAACTGTCACATGGACACGGTGACTATGATCAAAAGATAGGATTTTAATAGGCTCAATCAGATGACCAAAGATAAATCAGCTGTTTGTGTGATGAATACTTATGGCAATGGAGAGCCCATGGATAATGTGGTCAGCATGCTTGAGTTTCTCAACACTACACCTCAAGATCAACTTGACCTTATCAAGTTAAAGTATCTTGTGTTTGCCTTGGGGAATTGTTCATATGAGTAATTTTGTTGGTCGTGGGTCTTCCTCATGTTTGGTTTCCCATACTTTATCTTTAATTCCTGTGCATAAGTGGTATACCATGAAGGACTATTGAATGAATATCAATGATTGAGTGCCTTGATTGAAGGACTATCAAATTTTTCAATCAAGTTCTTCTACAAGTTTTTTATGGAAGTTTGGATGTTTAACAATCCACCAAAGAATTGCACAACTCAAATTTGAGCTTGTAGAAATCCAAAGGAAGCATGAAGTTTACATTTTTTCACTTCCTGCTATCAATTGGGTTAAAGCTTTGGTCTAGGTAAGGTTTCATTAAATTTTCCATGAACCTCTTCATCTATTATGGTTTTAGATGTGTATTATACATAAGTCAAAATAATCTACTTACCTTTAGTTCATCCTGACCCATTGGTTGTCCATTTGCGCCTGTTCCTTCTTGTAATCAAGCCAAAAGATCTTGTTGATCTTGAGCAATACTGCAAGCGCTGCGCACTATATTGCACTTGCAGTGCGGTTGCGTAGTGGTTTTGGGCGGCGCAATCACAACACAAGATATTGTGGTGTCAGCGCTCCGCAACCCGGCCGCGGGAAACCTGGTTTTTGAAAAACCGCACCACAATTGCGGGTTTTTGCCGCTATAGCGCTATATTGTGGGGACAAACCCCTTACCCAGGAGAGCTGTAGTGTACCCAGCCCACCTTCTCTTCGTTACATCCACCCACCTTCACCACCACTCAACACACTCGACCCAGAATGGAAGGCGGCACGTGGACAGCTCGAGTACCATGGACAGATCTTTGATCACGGAACAATGACCCCTGGAAACATCTCTGGCCGACTTGTGGGTTGTCAAATTGAACACTTCCTGGTCATAAGATGGGTTATAAGATTCAGATATGGTCAGTTCCCTTGATCTCATAGCCCCTCAATTCATATCATAAGTTTGATCGTAACAATAAGCTGAGAATTAGTCAGTTTTCTACTTTACCACTTTTTAGAATGCCTCCCAAAGACTCTTCCCAAAGCCTTCAAGTTCCGGGTAAAGCATCCACTAGGATCCTTCGTCCACCTAGCCCTGTTCGCACTCAGCCAGGTTTTGTGATCACCCCCCAAGATTCTCCCACCTCTATCACTTGTCAATCAACTCCCGAGTCCAAAGGTGATCAATCAACTCCCAAGTCCGAAGTTGAACTTGAAGTACCTGGTCCCCTTGCAAATCGACTTCCTCCGCCTCGACCCCCTGTTGTTAGAAATAAGAATAATAGTCTCAAATTTTCTTCTTCTAACTCAGCAGCTGCAAAGAAGGCCAAGCCAAATTCCCAAGGAAAAGTAAGTCCAGTTTCCTGATCGATCATCAGATTTGATTACATAACTCACAGTTGATGTTAATTGATTTCCAGACTCGCTCGTCGACTAGCAAACGTGCCAGGTCAAAGTTGCCTGCAGGTGCTTCAGTTGGCGGGACACCCCAACGATCCAAGCAATCTAATGTGTCAAGGTCGCCTGCTGCTACTTCAGACGGCGCGACACCCCAACAATCCAAGCGATCTAAGGTAGATGTAAGTTTCATACCTCATTCTCTTATCTTTCTATTCATACCTCATTCTCTTATCTTTCTATCTTCTTTGCTCAACTTGAGATATCTAATTGTAACGAATGCCCTTTTCCCTATTTTCAGGTCTATGAGATACCAGACGGCACTGACTTGTCTCAAGATTCCGAAATCAAGTTAGTTGAGTCCAACAACAAACCTGGCTACATGGAGTCTTGGTCTCAAGATGTCAAGGAGCTTCTTAAGTACTTTGATCCCCCTAATGTAAGTTTTCTCATGGTCTCAGTATGGATGCAAGACTAACACATTGTTTTCTTCTTGTAGGGCCGTTTATACAAATGCCAATTTTGTGGTAAAGAATTCAAGGGGGGAAAATCCAAGATCTCATACTTCAACTTACGTGGCCATCGCGATGGCAGCGCTACCCGCCCGGTGTGCACCAACCGACATAAGGCCACTCAGCAAGGCTTCTCTCTTGGACCTTCTTATAAAGAAAGGATGGCCTCTGCCGAGAAAAACGACAAAGGCAAGTTGACTTCTTTCATTAGCGGACCAACCTTCACAGTCAACCTCTTGAACATGATCTTGGTCATGTGGATCGTTTTTCACGCCCTCCCTTGGGCCCGATTCGAGGACCCAGCCCTTTGAGCTGCTTTCCACTCGGTGAATTGAGGTGCAGTTATAAGATCAAGGACATGGGCTGCACAGCAGTCTGTGCTACTCAATGCAGCCTTGCACCAAAAAGCCATCAACACGGTCAAAGTAAGTACCTTTCTTTCCTACTTTATTATATGTTTTTATCCATTCTTATATCTATTTTTGATTATTTTATTCATTCTGACATATCAATTCCTTTCATGAATAGATGAACAAAGGCATTTGCTTGATTCACAACGTGTGGACTACCAAAGGCAATTGGTAAGTGTTCATCGGAGCATCAGCCAATTACATAGATGACAATTGGAATTATAAATCGACTCACCTGACTCTCAAGATGGTCGCATGGAGACATTTTGGGGCTCTCCTAGGCTGACCAATTGGAAGATTCTCAGTTTGTCACGGTCTTCACGAGAAGATAAGTTTCACCATCCTCAATTTTTCTTCTATTTTTGTTTCAAACACTAATTCCCACTTTCTCTCACTTACATTTTAGCTCAGACTACCGACAGTGGAGAAAATAACGGTCCAATGGCTCAGGAACTTCAAAAAATGTTTCTAGAAGCCAAGGATCCAGTTTAGTGGAACAGCTCGGCCAACCACATTCGATGTTATGCTCATAAGCTTAACCTCACAGTTGGGCACGGCCTCAAAGTGCTTGGTCAGAAGGTTAGTAGTGCAAAACCGTCAATTCCAGCAGGTGTTCCACTTCCAATCTTGGTTCTCAAGGTGAATAATGGGGAGGATGGTATTGAGATGGAGGAATCTGAGTCAGACAAAGATGATGAACAAGGGTTACCTGAAAAGGCTGATGGTGTCAACGACGATGATGGCAGTATGGGTGATGATTCAGTAGAGGTTGTAGAGAAAGATGATATTGTTGCACTCGCCCTGGTGAAGGTAAGCACTGTGTCTCTATCTTTCTACTCTTTTCAGTCTTTCTAAGTTCTTTTTTAGAAAGACTGATTTCTCATTACTTTCACATTTTTCTTAATATAGGTCAATACCGTCACTGGTCAAATAGCTAGCAGTGCAGCCCGCCGAAGCAATTTCAAGGCGCGTGCGACTCGTATGGGTTATAAAGCTAGGATGCTCATGCGTCCATGCAAGACCCGTTGGAATAGCCACTATGCAAGTTGAAAGGTAGCATGCAAGGCCCATGAGGTAAGATTCGTTTTTCCATATACTTACCTCTTCAAATACATCTGCTGACTATAAGTTTATCTCCAGGTAATCAACTCAATGCTTGCAGCCAATTGCAAGGCTTTGTTTTTTAAGGGTGTAACAATTTCACCAGCAGAATGGCATGTGGTCGAATTGGTGAATAAAGTATTGAAGGTATGGACAATTTCTTTACTATAACTGACTGTGAAATATATGCATGATGCCATGAAACTAATATATTTCATTTGTTTTTAGACCTTTGTAGATGCTACCTCTCGTGTTGAAGGAAATGGTCCTACTGGGTGTACGGTTCTTGCAGAATACAAACGGGTAATCTCAGAGCTGAAAGCTCTCAATCCAAATCACAAGATTATTCAAGCCTGGACAAAGCAATCAGCAAAATGATCAAATGGCTCATCAAGTACCAGGAAGAAGCCGTGGAATGTGAAAGTATAGTATTAGCCACCATCCTCAACCCCTGACTTTGAGGAAAATTCTTTTCATTACATTACCCCGAGCAAGATGAATCTGTGAATACGGCCATTGAGAATGCATTCAACTCTTTACTGGAACAAGATGAGAAAGAACCATCCCCGTCTCTGGAAAACAACACTGCTCCTATCAACACCAAGCCTGATGTGTTCGACATCTTTGGAGCGTCTAATTCCACTACCAACAAAGCGTCCTCATCTGAGCTTGAGGATTATTTAGGAGGGAAGTATCCGATGAAGTCTAAAGATCAAACCCCCCTTGCTTGATGGAAGGTGGGTTTTTCATTTCATTCATCCTTGATTATCAGACTTTGCCCATCTTGCCTCTTTACAGGATCATCAGCATCATTTCCCCGTTCTTGCACGACTAGCCCGCAATTACCTTGCAGTATCGGCAATGTCATGTGCTTGCGAGCAAACTTTCTTGGCGGCTGCTGATGTTTGCACACCTTCTCGAGGTGGGATGCTGCCTAAGACGATGGAACGGCTTGTGGGGTCCCAAGCTTGGCTCAAGGAAGGAATCATACCAGACGGAGATTTCGCAGAGGTGGCCCACACTCTTCAAGCTTATATTGATGGTGTAAAGAAAAAGCAAAAGTAATATGTCTCCTTTACCTTTAAAATATTAGGTTTTGGCCTATTTCTTTTTCCTCTCTTTAAAAAGAAAAAGTGATTTGTCACTGAAATCATTTGTTTCTTGTTTTTTTTTCTCTATCAATCAAGACTCCATATACTGTGCACATATTGCGCAGTTTTTGCAATATTTCCGCAATATTGTGGCGATATTGCGCAGAGTGCAGTATTGCGGAAGTATTGCCCTCCACCCGCTCCACACCCGTGAGACAGAAAAAAAACTGCCATTGCGCAGTGGTGGCGGAGCGTTTTATTGCGCCAAAAGCACAACGCAATGGAAAAAGGCCGAAATCCATTGTGTTGCGTTGCGCTTGCGGTATTGTCTTGAGGACAACCTCCTAAACGCTTTGTGACTCGATTACAAGCAATCTGTTTCATTCAACCCCCAAAAGAATCCATTCACCCAAGAACTCATCAGCAAAAAATTTTCATAACCATTTCTCTGACAGTCAGGGTAACAATTAGGTAGTCACCCAATTTGCTCAGGTGTATCAAATTGAATATTGCTGGGATGCCTCAGCCTTGATCTATGTTGGGATGGTGTTTTTTACTTTCTTTTGGCATAAGGAATATCATTATACAAAGGGGTAAGTTTTTAACATCGCATTAGGGGGGTTCAAGTAGGGCTTTTACAGCCTGGATTTAAATTTTAAATCTGGATTGCTGGCCTTAAATTATAAGTATATTTTAAAGCTCACGACCAGCTGTAGAGGTGGTCCGCAAGCTTGTGATCCAACATAAAATCTTAAAATTTATAAAGCTCTCCTGTTCAAGAGGAAAAAAATGGTTTCAGGGCAACCTTTGCCATATCAAAAAGGAACATTATTTTTCTATATTTGTTCCTCATTATGTCCCTTGGTTTTCATTCCCTCTTTCATTAACAAGTTGAGGTTAGGTCAAACCCACGGGGAAATCCCGGATATCCCAGGTTTTGGAAATGAAATTGGCCCTGCACCTATACCTGAACCGCTCCGCTCCAAATAGCAGTTTTGGAGCGGCTTGGTGGTCTGCTGTGACCTCCGCAACTCATAGCGGAGCCTCCCACTGAAGCCAAAACACAAGGATCTCCATAGCGGAGCAACCACAACAAAATGGGTTGGGGCTTTGGGCGCATAATATTGCAATATTGTTGTGGTAGAAAGGATACATATTAATTTCAAGTCCTTCACTATCAAGACATATGTGTGTGTGTAACAATTTGAGTTCTAGAAGTTGGAAGGTAGTGTGTGCAAGATGTGATCAAAGAATAAGGGATGGTTTCAAAGCAAAGGAGTAATGTAATCTGGATTGAACTGGATTCTCCAAATCAGGATGGTAGTTGGAATGTGAGATGGTCTATGTGTCTGGAAGGAGTGTGTTTTTTCTTTTTGAGAATAGTTCCTTAATATCCTGTGCGCGTTTAACTACGAAGTTGTTTCATACCCCTTGCTGAATTTTTCTAGTACAATTATTTGTGTGTTGAATTTTTTCCTCATATACGCCCTCTCTCTCGAGCTCTCTCTTCCTTCGCCTCACCATTAGGAATAGATAGCTCAAGAGTACGTATTTTAACTTCCTCTATCTACATCACTGTTTATCTGGTTGTGTGCTCATCACGTCTTGAATAGTCTTTCCGTCCTTTTTGTACTCCTGCTCATCCGCAGGTAAGGCGTTGAATTCTTCCGCCAATCTCCTTACAACTATTCGAGTCTTTTCATAGAGCTCCATACTTAAACCTGTCTGTCCAGGTAAATAGTGTTACTTGTCTTGTTTTTCTCTTTTTATCTAGTTAGCTCTTCCTCACCGTTAGGAATAGATAGCTCAAGATCTTTCCGTCCTTTTTGTACTCCTGCTCATCCGCAGGTAAGGCGTTGAATTCTTCCGCCAATATCCTTACAACTATTCGAGTCTTTTCATAGAGCTCCGTACTTACACCTGTCTGTCCAGGTTATTCATCCGCTCTATTGCGTAGATTTAAATCCGCATCAAATTATTTCAAATATAGCGTGAAATATAGCAATTGCAATTTCTCTGCTCCAAAACTTTGCAAGACTTTTTTTTCATAAATAGCAATCACAGACTGGAGCAATCCATAGCGCCAACTCCAAAATGCTATGAAATTGGGCCAAATTTCATAGCATTTTGGAGCGGTTCGAGTGTTGCCTGCACTCACTCTGTCACTCTGATATACTTTTGCTTTTGACAGTTGATATGATGTTCCCTCTTGGAATCCTTGAATTACAATGATTACCACGCGCTTAGTCAATCTGGACAGCCTGGTTTGGAACACTTTTGAGACAACACATCAGCGTGTGTTTGGATTGTTTCATCTTTCTTGAATTTTGATTCAAACCTTTGCATGTGGAATTTGGAACTTATATACTCCGCCTGCCCCCCTCAACCCTCAAATTGATCTCTCAACACCATCTTCTTGAAACTTTGAGTGACCCTTGCCTGACTTATTGGATTTCAATCAAATTCATCTTCGATTTCAAGCTCAAGACTGTCAAGACCTTCAAGCGTTAAGATTTACTTATTTAGAAATGAAGCTTTAGGAGCTAAATCATGAATCAAAGGGGTACTCGGTAATGCTGTCAGGCAAGAAGAGAATGTTGGTGGAATGGTTAGACCGGTATGAGTTGTATGCAAGGGATGTTTGTTGCGTGATTGGTCTCTGTACTTTGTGTCTCTTGTTTTCTATCTTATATACATCAGCTCTCTCTTTGTCCCCTTTTAGATTTTCTTTTTCCTCACCGTCTGGGAAAAGAAATCTAAAAGGTAATGTTTTTCTGCTCAACTAACATTTAGATAACTGTTAATCAAACTACTTCTCTTCGTTTCTCTGTTTTATCTTTTCAACTCTTTTTATTAGTTTCATTTATCTTTTAACAAACCTTGTCAGGTTTGTTCATCTTTTGATCTCTTTGAGTCTCGTCAACTCGCTGTCGAGAGGTCTTATAATCTTTTGTTGTGTTAAAGGTTTGTTCATCTTTTGATCTCTTCGAGTCTCGTCAACTCGCTGTCGAGAGGTCTTATAATCTTTTGTTGTGTTAAAGCCTTTACACAGATATCTTTCAACGTCGAGAGTTTTCTCCGTTGTATTCTTTTATGACTATCCAACCAAGGTCGCTCTTGATCTCAACATACTGTTTACAAATGATATGGCTCCAAAATTACAACAAACTGCCAAACCCAAAGTTCATTTGTGTCTTATTTCCTTATTTGTTTTTTGTGAGGCTGATAATGTATATTTTTTTTGGTGCAGGAGAGGATTCATTGCACAAAAGCTCAACCTTCTGAAGATCTTGAGCAGGCCGGAGAAGTGGTCAAAGGAAAACCGTGCGCTGCAGCAGTCACAGCCAGCATATTTGGCTCGGAGCCAAAAATCCGAGGATTCCTCGGATTCTGACTCCGAGTCAACCCCTATCCGAGGATCCAATCCGAGGCAACGGCCAGGGCCAACATTTGCCTCAGAATTAGCCCTCGGGTGCCCTTTTCCTTGGGGGCGCTGTCCGAGGACTCCTCGGACGTTTGTCTCCGAGCCAAATATGCTGGCAGTGAGTGAAGCGATCTTGACTCACTGCAAACGCATGTGCTCAAAGTGCTTCGATCAAACCCACTAGCAGCAAGACCACCAAATGCCCCGCCGGCCCAGCTTTTGACCTGGTGGATTATCAGACCATCATTGCTTTTATCTCAAATCCAACCTTCCAAAATGTGGTCTTGGGAAGCGGTAGTCACACAAAAGTCAGTGGTATGTCGATGGGCCCAACAACCCTGTTAAAACCCTTGGCCATCAAAATCAACTGTGCGTACAATGAACTTCACAAATCCACCAAAATGTGTTTGACAGGAGGTACATTATACTCCCAATTGAAATGATTCAAGGCCAAGTACATGCACACCAAAGCTTTCAGTAAACAAACTGGTGCTGGTCTATCTGCAAAGGATGTTGCGTGTGGTATCAAAACAATGGAGGACCTTTACAAATCTATGTGCCCCTGCTACTCCAACATGGACACCTTATTCCACAATAAAGGCAAGGTGAACCCCTTTGGAGTCCTCAATAGTGGAGTTTCCCCTGCAAACTTGTCCGGGGACGAGATGGCTGAAGACATTCAGAGCGAGGATGATACGACTGATGGTCATGATCACTCCTGTGAAAGTGAGTTGCACGTTTTTCCATGTGGTCATTCCTGTTCCCACTTACTAACCTGCTCAAATGTATTTTTTCAAGGTCCAAAGGGTCAGTCGACTGTCCCTCAACGGCCAAGCTCATGCCCAAATGCCTTTGGCAAACACTTACCAGAGTGTTTCCCCAGCCCTGATTCTGACAAGCTGGATGCCTATCAGCAACTCTTATCCTCCGAGAATCAGAGCGATCTTCCATCGCCATCCAACCCAGTGCCCAATACCCTCAATGATCACTACCACGACTTCCTTGAAAACAATTGAGATTCACCTCCACCTACCCCAAAGGACCCAATTGCCGAACCAGAACCTGTCAAGCGTGGCGAGACGGCTTCAAAACTGAGTCAGGCAAAAAAGGCCTCTGTACAAAGACCCAAACACAAACAATTGAAAGTTGACACCCTCACCGCTGAAGAACAAGTGATGGATTCTAGTTCTGATGAAGACCCAAATCAAACCCAGTCAAAGTCAACTCAAAGGTGGGGTGTCACCCGGCCTCCTGTTTCTCGCCGTGCATTGGATCCTGTGCCATTGATCGATCCATTGGTGGTGTGTGGTAAAGACCTCAAACACCTGGTCGCAACTTCAATGCAACTGGGCATTGCAGCTAAGCTGGAAATGTTATGAGAAGCTCAGCACGCGGACTTAGAGGCGCAAAACATGGATCTTAGCTGGCAGAAAGAGTGCTACTTTCTGGAACGCGAAGATGAGGCCAAAAGAAATGCTGTTGCTTTAACCAACCATCACCGAGCGATCTGTGAAAAGCTAGTCATTGGCGGAAAGACTCCTGCTGAACTAGAGGCCTTCCAGCGCCTTGTCTACCCCAAAGATTTGTCTTCATCATTGTAAGCCTTTACTTCAGCAACTTTGTCTGACTCCCACTGATCCTCATGTTTTCATCCAACAGATGAAAATTTTCTGTCACAGTGAATGCTCATTTCTTGGTTTTCAATTTGGAGTTTCTTTTTGGTTGTACTTGTGGTTGTGTCTTTTTGGTTGTACTTGTGGTTGTGTCTTTTTTGTAGTACTTGTGGTGTTCTCTTTCCTTTTTTTAGTACTTGTGGTGTTTTCTTTCCGTTTTTGTTGTTCTTGTGGCATTATTTTTACTGCAGTGACAACCCTGTGCCAGCAATGCAACATGTCGAAGCACACCTGTTTTTTGATGTGTTGCTCCGCAACACGCAACACCAACAAGCAGCAGACACTGTGTTGCGGTAAAACCGCAACAAACAATTTAGGCTAGGTTGCGCGGCGCCTCAAACGTTGTGCAACGCAACAGGTGCAAAAGCGCCCAAAAAACATCAATTTGAATGTTTTCCAGTGCAGCAATGCAGCAAACGTTGTTGCGGCGCAAAAAAACAACCAATTTGTGCAATCCTGTTGCGCTGCGGGTCAGGCCGCAACTGAAAAACTAATTCTATGGTGTGGTGCGGTCAGAAAAACCGCAACGCGAGCGCAGCGCAGCACGCAACGTCTGCGTTGCTGGCCCAGAGTTGGCAGTGATCTTGACTTTGTCTACTTTATCTGTTTTGGTCATTGTTCTTATATCCTATTTATGGTATTTTGTAGAGTCAATTACATCAAATAATCTGTTAGTGAAAATGAGAGCCCGTGTGGTCTCCAACACGCAGCACACAGATCATGACCCAAGGTCGAAGTGTCTAGACAAGAGTTCAAAAAGGTCTTTAGGTCTTTACAACAGTTCAAAACGCTTGACCTTTTGCTCACAAAGTCTCAAAAGTACAGCACATGTGATCATGACCAAAGGTCAAAGTGTCTTTACAAAACTTGGAAAACATGTTGAACTTTGACTCACAAAATTGGGTCTACTAGGGCTCAACAAAAAGGTTCCATAAAAATCAATTTCTTTTGCATCAACCGAACTCATAACAGGTTACAGAAAACATTGCTGAAGAAACAACACGCAAGAGCCCAAGTCGAAGGAAAACAAAGAGAAAAACAAAGGTCACTACAGAGGACAAAAACTTCAAGGAACAAAACTTTTGAGTTTTGAAAATCAAAACAAAACAAAATTGAAATGGTCATTGTACAATTGGAAGTCTACCACTTTCCCAGTTGTAGGTAACTGCATAATCCCTAATCACACGGGGGCGCAGCCTTTTTCCAAAAAAAAGCCTACGCGCCTTTTCTTGGATCAAAACCGCGTCTAGGCGCCACTGGCGCGCCTGGCGCAATTTTTTGAAGCAAAAATTGAGCCAAACTCAAGAAAGGCTTGTCTTTTGAAGAATTCAGATCTTAGAATACTTTAATAAACAAAAAAGTGAGATGAGGGAAGAGATACAACTAGTCAAAATTGACATCCATGGGGTTCCAAGCTCCAAGTGCACTGTGTGTCTTCTGAAATTTTGGCATATTGTTGACCGGATAAAAAGATGACCTGGCTGTTGAATATGGATCCGTATGTACATGAATTCAGAGTGATCCTCAAACCTGGGGGCATAGCTGATAGTAGAATCAAGCGTGACAGAGCCCCCCTTGCCATGTTTGTTAGGTCAGGATACCCATACCCAATTTGGGCGCGCTGACCAATGTTTCCAGTTTTTTGGGCGTGAGGCGCGTTGTTTGGCGCGGTTTTTTTTCTGCGCCCCCAGTGTGACTCCCTAACCTTTTCTCTCTTGGCTCTGCCTTTTTCAATTGCTGCAATATCCGAGTCCACTCCTTGCAAACGTGCCACCCCTGTGTCACCTAGTTCATTCGTTACAAGTTAATTATCCTCTTCTTCCCACGTGTTTCCAAAATTCACAAGCATGTTATTGAGTATCACGCAACAATTGATCCATCTGAGTATGTGATCCATCCCACCACATTTATTCAAAGCCAATCGTAACGCTTGCAGAGAAGCCCAGCATAGTTTGGACACTCTTATTGTGTGTTTGTTTTGTACACGGGATTTGGCTACACACCAATTGAAGTCGCGATTTCTTTTGATTATGGTGGCCTAAACTTTGTATGAAGGAACCACGGTTTTAGAAGGTACATGAGCAGGATTGGCCAGAAGATATTCACCTAAGCATACATGAGTCAATAAGCAGATCACCAGGCATTGCAAACCTAACAGAAATTGACATAACTTTGTCAAAATACCTATCCAGGTTGATTGCAATGTCAGTTTTTGAATACACAGTGCTGTTGCAGCACGAGCCTGGCCAGCCTGCGTAGACATATGTGATCCGTCTGTTGCAGTCGCAAATCACTTGGACGTTGATCGAATATTGATGCTTCCTATCAAAAAAAACTTCACCGTCCTTGCCGGGTCTTTGATACAGTGGGATGGTGGTGCCGTCAACAAACCCTACACACCCTGGGAAGCCTTTGTTGGAAAGCACTTTACTGATTGCCTTTTGTCTATTTGAATCGGGCAACTGCAAGTATAATGGGCTCCAACATCTAGTACTACTGAGATGACCTGATGATCAGTGCAGTTGATTACAGTTCCCCAACCAACTTTGTAATTCCTAGCAGATTGGCCTACGGAAGCCCCGTTTCCTTTGCTTCCAAGGCGTTCTAGAGTAATGGCAAGTTGCTGTTCGACTGGAGGTTGAGGGTCGTTACTGGTAGATAGGAATTGTGGATCTGATTTGATCATTTGCAGGAGAGCGTGAAATCCCTCCGGAGTTGTTTGCATGGCTTGTCTGAAGTCTGTTTGTCTGGACAACAGCATATTGCGTAGGTCAAATGGATTCGCCGGAGGAGCACAAACACGCCAGTGAAGGTACCGGGATGACGTGACGTGTGTGAGCATTTCACCTCACTCTTCTTCATCGTCAAAGATTCTGTTGTATAGCTTGGCCATGAAAGCGTCATTTTGGAAGAACATTTGAGCTTCACTGGGATCCGGTCAGCAGCGTCCAATCATGCCAGGTAACGGGATTGCTGAATTCATGTGAGTTAAGATACATAGAGTTGTGGGGTCACAGATGACTGTTGTTTTTTCGGAGACCCGTGGCATGGTAAGAAAATGATGAAGAACCAGGAAGACTGAGGGAGGAGTGGACAAGGCCCAATTGTTTGTAATCATCCAAACACACTTCATATGTCCTGTCAAAAAAAACACTTGAGGAATGTTGGACCTGGATTTTCAAGGCTGTAAAACACAAATTTAGAGCCTCCACAGAGTAGCAAACAAAGATTTTAAGGTTTGGAAACCTGTAATGTTCCAGGTTGTGTCTTCAGGCAGGGGTGTCCGCAAATCTTAACTTGAACCCCCCTATTGTATTGAGATTGATTATATCTTAAGTCAATTTTTACCATTTAGTGTGAATTACCATCATTCACAGGGGCAAAAATTGATGCTCACAACTATGTGAGCGTTGAAATTTTCCTGTTTTGTTCCCATTTGTTTCCCATTTGTTTCCAATTTGTTTCCCATTTGTTTCCCATTTGTTTCCCTTTTGTTTCCCTTTTCTTTCTGTTTGTCAGCTGATTACGTGATCATCAGGAACTGAGCAGACAAACTAAGCCTTCCTCAGCATTTATTCCTGAGCAAAGAAGTCTGAGGAAGGGCTGATCCATCTGCTCAGCTGATCCTGAGCGGCATTCCCTGGTTCAGTAAGCTCCAAGGGATGCCACCAATGTATAGCTTAGGGGCTGAGCTGAACTGAGTATTCCCTTAGCTAAGTCTCTGAAGTATCCCCCAGATGGATCACAGAGCGCCAAGCTTGCCTCAAGCTTGATGGCTCTGGAATGAAGCCTGAGGCCCGTCTGCTCGTTCAACTGAGCTGCTCAGTTATTCCTCAGGGGCATCCCTGAGATCAGGAGGATCCGGAGGATTTCACTGCTCATTGGATGAGGGGCTGCTCAGTTATTCCTCAGGGGCATCCCTGAGATCAGGAGGATCCGGAGGATTTCACTGCTCATTGGATGAGGGGCTGCTCAGTTATTCCTCAGGGGCATCCCTGAGATCAGGAGGATCCGGAGGATTTCACTGCTCATTGGATGAGGGCCTGCTCAGCTAGTCCTCAGGGGCATTCCTGGCCGGATCAGAAGGATCCAAAGGATGTCACTGAGTATTGGCTGAGGGGCTGCTCAGTTGATCTCAGCCCCTCAGTGTGAAAAACTTTATCCGGGGATATCACTGAGGATTAGCTGAGCAATGAGCAGATGGGATGACGCTTTTATCAGGCTTCATTCCTTAGCAAGGAAGTCTGAGAAAAGTCCGGCCCATCAGTGATCCAGTCAGGGGATGCTACTGAGTATTTGCTGAGCAGCTCAAATGGGACGCCCCTGTGCAGGCTTCTTCACTGAAAAATGAAGCCTCAGGAAGGTATAGTTCATGTGCTCATCTTCATTTTGAACAAATTGCTGAGTATTCAGTGCCTCATGAGCTGATCCTGAGTACTCATCGGGAATCAGTTATTGCGCATCCAAGATGGAAATGAGCCTTCTCAATAAATGTCAAGTAAAATATGAGAACCACAGGATGATCACCTGAACACAAACAAGATTGTGAATTGAATCAATCTGAAAGAAAATGAATCTTTTTTGGAGAATTCCAAAAAGTCTACAACGCTCACATGTATGTGAGTATCTATTTTGGCCCCTGTGATTGGGGTTATACAAAGACTTTGTATGGAGTACCAAGAGGAAATGATAGAAATTAGAAAATCCAATGAAAGGAGCAGCCCTGGACTTATTTCAACAACAACCTGATGTGATGTATCAATCAATCACTTCAATTTAGCCAGGTTGAGTAAAACAGCAGGAGTAAGAACACATGTGTTGTAATCAAATTCCCAATGAATTTGTAGTAACTTGTCAGAATGTATATTTATAAGTGAAAAAGACAGATTACATGGGTGCAAGAGATGGTGAGAAGCCAACCTTAGAAAGTATGACAAGATGGTATGTCTGTCTGCAATGTGGTTGTCTGAGTATCATATGGTGGTCCGGAAGCTACTTTAAAATCAATTATGCACAGAGACTAATGGTAATGGCACTTTGTCAGACACTCATGATACCTACATAGGCAGTAATAAAAGGGGCATCACGCCAATGTGAGCTGTTGAAGCAGTGCCCACCACCCAGATCTGCTAGTATATGTATATAAATCATCCTTTCCTTGCCTTCAAATGTAGATAGTCTGCTATAATGTAATGCAGGAAAGCATGTTTCAAGAATGATGATCCTATTGAATTGTTAAACTGGTAACTTAAGATGAGCAACATGAAATTGTTTGCTTATATATATAAAAGGATGTTCTTGTTTATTTTGGCAACTTTTTTGCATCACAAATGAGATACAACAGCATGTAAGATGAGGAGACTATCTGACAAAGAAATAGAAGGCTTGCATTTTAACACAGGAACTGGAATGTGTTTACTCAACCATGGAGCATGTATATGACACAAGTTAGTTGGGTGAGGAAGAAGTGGAGCTGCTGAGAGAGAGTAATACAGTTTGGGAGAATGAGGATGGGAAACTTGTTATCAATATAAAGAGACACTAGTAGTGGCCTGATGCCAAAGACAAAAGGGCAGCAGGCCACCCCCACTGCTCTATTATCATCAAAGGATGTATGTAGGTCTTCAGCAATAAATGATTGATGAGAGCAAGAAAAAAAAGAAAAATCAACAACCTTAACAAAGTTCCTCACAGATGGTAAAACCCAAACCCTGCTTAAGAACTTACACCAGATGTGGCCTTCCTGGTGTGAGAGGCTGTGAGATTTAGTAGGGAAAGAATTGCCCAAAAGAAAAACTTCCATGTCAGAAGAGGTCATTCAATGCTGCTTGGGGACACCAAAGTCCTGTGTGTTCCAAGTAGCACACTCAACTCAGACCCTTCATATCTTGCACTGTTCTCAAGATCTGATTGATGCCCAAAATCCTTATCCTCTAATTTTCACAAGGCCAAAGAGGGAGAAGATGTTACACAAAGACACAATTGTATGCAAAAATTGAACAGACACAATGTGTATGATAATGAAAACTTGAGGATGGCTCAAGATATGAAGAATTTGAATCATGGGCCCTGCCTAGAAGTTGAACAAGCAGGACTTTGAATTTTCAAGAGTAAATTCAAAAAGCTATCCTATGGCAGAAGTTTTTCCTTTGGTCCATCTTTCCCCTACCAAATCTCACAACCTCTCATGCCAGGAAGGCCACATTGGGCATAAGTCCTTACACAGGCTTTGGGTTTTACGGCCTGCAACTTGCAAGGGGCTTTGTTACAGCCGAGTTAAGAATGATTGACCACTTGTGAAAAAAAGTTGTTGCTGCATGCAGTGGTCAAAACCAACCAAAAAGTGTTTTCACAGGTCTTGTATTCTCTGTATTCTCAAATCCAGCAGAGAAACAAAACTCAGTCAAGAAATAACGCCAGTTCCTGCACCATGTTGCACATTTAAAAATCATTTACTCTCAAATCAGCTGTAAGTTTGAAAGATTGATGACCATTGCTGTTGATCCATGTGATGGAATCTTGAGAGCCATTTTTGCTGTAAGATGAGCGTTGAGATGAAACAGATTTGGCTTGCGTAATCGAAATGATTATGCTCATCTTGGTTGCAAGATTGAGCATCGAGATGATTCATCTAATGCTGCAACATAATTTACAAGATAGATGCTGGGTTAAGTTGAGTAGCCGAAATTCGCGGGCGTATTGTGCAACATATGATTTGATTTGATTTGATCGAATTCAAGGATATATCCTCACACAAGGAAACTTTGTGTCACACTTCACCGCCACACTTCGTAAAGTCTTGTAGCCTCCAGTATCAGCCATGATATCCCCGAGTATGTAACTGATTGATATATCATTTCTGCATCCCTCCAATAACCAACGAGAAATCTAATCACAATTTAGCTAAATAACGTTATGCATACAATCCTTTGAATGTTGAGTTACTCTTCTATGGATGGAAGCAAAGCTAGATAAGGCTTGATATCATCAACTCAATGATGAATAGTCTTGTACAGATCATGCGTCAGTTGCCCTGCGAAAATACGTTAAAACAACTCATCTCAACTCTCCAAGGCCAAAGATATGTATCGAGGTCTCTGGACGATCCTGATTTATGATCTCGGATTCCCGCGTTAGAACACCGACACAGCCTGAACTCAAATCTTCACATCCCGATCACAGCTAATGATATTTTGATTCCGGGATTGTGTGGGAGTTTGATATTCCATACAACAAAGACTGAGAGTGTGGAGAAGTGATGGATCGGTACAGGTTTATATCTTGGCAGATATGTATGTACAAAAGTACAAGAACTGAGCAAGACTGAGCATGGATGAGTCATATGCCCGACATCGTACGTATCTATGATGAATCTCTGAACCTGCTATGTTTGATGAAGAGTTCTTTTTATGAAAATGACGTGTTCCATGAATGGTCATGACGAATGTTCCATCATACCGGAAGTGAATTTGAACCGCACTTCGGAGCTTCAGAGGGTGGTCTCAATTGACCAAATAGCCGAGTGTAAATATGAAGAAAGACTTGAAGATAGAGGTTGTGATTATGTGGTCATCAAGCGCACTTTGAATCATCAATCATGACTCATGAAGTTCTGTTTACGTCTGCCCACCAACTCAGCCACTCAACTTGAATCACTCCTCTTTACCCCGCCCTATGTACTTCAGCTGATCAAGATCGAAGTAGTCAAAGTTGAGTGAAGTGTCATGAGACTTGTTTGAGCGATCGCTTTAATTTAATTGTAGGAGTTTTAAATGTATGTTGTACTTATTGTTTGTAGCATTCATTGAGATGATGATCGAAGGAAAAGGTGAATGAAGGTGAGGAGAATTGAGATGAAGGTCATGTGAAGCTTCTTTTCCACTTGAACTGTATTTTCTTTTTTATTTTGTGATATTTTAAATTACGCAGTCAACTTAAATATCCTACTTTCGAATCAAATCTCCTGTCTTTTTGATTTGAATTTTATAGTTTTCCTTCAACACTTCCTCTTCTCTTCAAAACCATCTTCCTTCCATTCTCAAAGATGTTATCATCTTCAGTTCTAGATTTGTAATGGATACACTCATCAAATTAAGCATATTAGACTGATTTCTATTCATCTTCATCGCCCATAGATTAACCAATTACAAAACTGCAACCTTTGGAACATCAACCACCAATTTTTACTCCACTCAATCTCCCTACATCGTCCTTTACTCATGCAGACTACTGATCAAACTTACCCCATTGTTTCTCAAAACATTTTGGCTCAGGGCGTTGACGTGAGTACCTTTAAGCAATTTGGTCAATTTCTTCTCCTTTCCATATACCCCATTCAAACAACACCGCCCCACCCACATCTGCATCCATGTATCACTCTAGACAACAATCCATTTGTTTTCACTAGGTCCTGTACAACTTTGGTATTGAGCCAATTGAGCCTTACAAGTTGACAGTTCAATCAAGCATGTGTAAAGGATTGAGAGCAAGATGTATGCTCATTCTATACATGTACACAAACCTTGTTTACCTTCTTTACCATCTTCGTTTCTGTCATGCTTCAAGTTACCTTTTTGTTAATCTTTAGTCATGATCAACTATTAAACCTTTCTTTGAAACCACTTTCGAACCATTTCTTTACCCCTTTGGCGGAACTTTGACAACTGATTTGATATCCAACTCATCTTAATCCTCTCAGCTTACCATCAATAGTCAAAGAGTCTCAGCTCAAACGCTCATCTCTCAACATTCAATTCAAGCAAGAATCGCATCATCATCAGAGGATCGTCCACATTCCTGCATCACTGCCTCGAGTCCTCGGTCCTCGCTATCTTCCAATCCACCTGGTCTAGAGACCCCACCAGTCTTACAACCTATCAAGATCAACTTTAACTCTCAACATCGCACCAAACCTCAATCTATCCCTGTGTCTCACAACTACAATCAACCGACATACCCTATCTCTTCACTTAGTCCTCATTTCCCTAACACTCGGAGAGATTCATCTACATCTTCAAGTAGAGGCAGTAGTCCCAATCGGAGTGCGAGTAAGACTGGATCTGATCGTAGCTCCTCGATCTGTTCAGTCGAAGATCCATCGATCAAAGCAATTTGGGCTACGTCTGCTCAAGCTGCTTCGACCTCTCTGAGCGCCAATATCACTCATCCTAGCTCAACTGTCTTTCCTCAATCACCCAAGACGGTTAATCACAATCAATTTATCAATCCCTTTACCACAGCGGCTCAGTCTGAAGAGGTTTCAAGTCATTCCCGTCATCATACGGAGAGACCATACCGAACGCCTTCCTTATCTGCTACTGCAGACCCTTGGAATTTGCAATCGACTCATCTTGGTCCATTCGTTGCCAGCAACGGACGCGACTCCGAAAGTGATTTCACGCGAAACTATCACGAAACCCGTTTAGACTACGGTCCAGTCGGTAATCATCCAGGTTTGCCTCTCACTCACCTCTCCATTCCCCACATCTAGCATTTTCAGGACTGATACTCAATTTCTCTTTATATGAATGTCTAGATCCACTTCGGGCTATGGGCGTCAATATGCCAAGATTGATGGAAACTCGTACCGACTTGATCTCAGAAATTGCTAGCGAAAATGTCAAACAGGAGGAACATCACGATATTGACACCAAGCAGAATCATCCTTTATCCCCATCTGGCTCCATCTTCATCGACAACCCTGTCTCACAACTTCAAAATGCCAGACCGTTTGGTCCAATTCGCCCACAAACCCAAACCCTTCGGACACCAACCGACGATCATGCTTCACACGCTTCTTCATCCGCTGTAGGATCATCCGCCTTGGATGACAATATTGCCTCACTTCGACCAAACTCGTATACGAACCGAATCAGTCAGATTGGTAGATTATCGTTAGACTCTATCAACGCGAAACCTTTCCAACCTGCTTCACTTTCTGTGCCCACCAACAAGGCTAATCATATGCTCAATAACATTTGGGCTCAGCCTGTCCAGACCCCCACATCCTCATCATCTGGGGCCTCAGACTTTGATCTTCATTCACCACTCGCTAGTCAGCCTCCTCTTGCCGGTCCTCGTTCCGATTTACTGGGTTCACATCTCAACAACACCCAATCATTAATCGGGTCACCTGTCAGTCTCATCGACTTCAATGGCTCTAACAGCTCTGCCTTTGATCGTCACTATCAGTCTAGTATGAGTCCCACCAGCCCTGGTGGTGGTATGTTCGGACCCAACTCTTTACCTGCAGCTTTCTATGGTGGTCCGTGGCATGGTTCTTCGTCAAATGCTACCAACCAACAGAACGGTAGTGGTCTCGACGACGAACGAGCTGGTAGGTCGAAAGCTCGGGATATCTTAGGAGCTCGACCCACTCCGATCGGTCGTGATTCTAGTGTGGGTAGTATAGGAAGCCCTGGCAGTTCCAGTGTAAGGAGTGGAATTGGATTGAGTAATATGAGTCCTTTTACGGGTACAAGCTTATTGCCTTCAAGTAGTATTGCGTTCGGTGGACCTTTTGGCGCAACCCATCATGCCAGTAACGGTTTTCGATCGAGCCGTATCCGAGATAGTAGTCTTGGCGCAATTGGCACTGGTCGGACAAATTTGAGACCAGCTGGTAGTACCACGAACAGTAGTGGTGCCATCGGAACCGGCTTAGGTCTCGGTTCATCTCATGACTTTTTGAGCAGTCACCCTGGTCTGGGTGGTTACGCAAGTAGTCATCATGACAGCTGGTTCCTTGGAGGTCGGAGTTTGAGTAATGATTTGGATGAAGATGATGAGTTTGCCCCTCCAACTAAGTCGGGTGCTACTAGTCGACGTCATAGTGTTGCGGCTTTTAGTGGTCGGAGTCTCGTGCAAGATTTCGATTATATCCCTGCTCCTCGTCCATATCTTTCTACTAATTCCAATCCTATCAGCGAAAAGAAAACTCAGCATGCAAAAAATGGGACTGGAGGATCGGTTGATAGTATTGGTGCTCCGGATCATGCAAGGATGGGAAGTCGTCAGATGATGTTCGGTAGCGGTGCTTTGGCCCTGACGGAAGACGACTTATTATTGTCATCAGATCTAAACTCATTGAACCTTCACGATTTGGAGGATCATCACCGCGCTCAAGATAACAATCATTCACCAAGCTTTGAATTCCATCACTCCTCACACACTAATCAGCCTACTCGTCCATTTCATCGAGACCATGTTGGAAGTGTCGATCAGCAACAATTCAATTTATCCTCTCAACAACTCATGATGCCTTGGTGCAATCAACCACCTCAACTTGTCAGAGGAGGAGCAAGTGGCGTTGTTGGCCCAGCTTTCAGGGAGCGAAAGTCATCGTTTAGTGCTGGAGATCCGTTCAGTGCGTCCGCACAAGCTGCCAAATTTTTCGCCTCTCAGGCAGCAGGCGTCGGGGGACAACAACAGCAGGAAAACATCACTATGAACTCCCCTTTGAGATCACGTTTTCCTTTTGGTCACGCTGGAAATGGATCACAGGCCCCTCCTACTAGTGCTTTGAGTGGTCCACCGGTGACGACTTTCAGTAACAGTGGGTTGCTCTCCACTCAATCAACTCAACATGGTCACCATGCGGGTAGTATCGGTAGCGGACTCGATCCTGCGACTGCGCCTACGTTTTACCCGAATAGCGCATTTCATCCGCAAGCTACTAGTAGTCCATTGCTTGGGCCTTCTGGTAACGGCACGTTTGGAGCAATATACAGTGCTAGTACGCCAGGACCAGGACCTCACGAGCTGGGAGAGTTAGGCAAAGGTGTCCCTCTCCACTCTCTTTCGAAGAATTGCAAGCTTTACATCGTCGAGTTCAAAGGAGCAAGAAAGGATTTATTCTACTTCATCATGGGCGATGGTATGGAGGTCGTTAGGAAGGGAGATATGGTGATTGTTGAAGCTGATCGAGGAAAAGATTTGGGCAAGGTGATTGACGACGAGATCATGGTCGATGAAGTAGTAGAGTTCCAACAAAGACAGTTGGAGATCGCTTTAGAGGCTGCCGCTAACAAAGGGGATGCGGGGGGTAAAACGTCTGGTAGTGGAGGCAATGCCGCTTGCATTTCTCGGATGACTAAAGAGGTACGTCCATTCAAGACACTTTTTCCATGGCATCAAATCTGATCAATCTTGAAAACAAACCAGATCCACCCGAAGCGAATCTACGGGAAAGCTACAATTCATGACACTCAACTTTTACAGCAAAAGATTCAAGACGAAAACAAAGCGTTGAGTCTTTGTAGATCAAAAGCTTCACAAAGGGGATTGAAGATGGAAATCCAATATGCTGAATGGCAATGGGATCGCAGAAAGCTTACATTCTTTTTCGTGGCTGATAAGAGGATCGATTTTAGAGATTTAGTCAAAGATTTGTTTCGGACTTGGAAGACGAGGATTTGGTGAGTTTCCTCTTCGTATATAGTTGCGTCCTGACCATGATCAAAGACTGATGCTAATGTTGTCGGTTTATTAGGATGTGCTCCGTCGGTCCTGATAGAGAGAGATGAGGATTAGACTGTACAATGTTGAGTTTTATTTCAAGTTGTCCACTCTCAATTGATATCGTAACTTAAACATTGGTTTCGTCTTGGTTCATCAGTAGATTATATACAATTTTCAAGCTCCTTTTAGAATCTCATCAAAGAGTCCTATCCTTAAAAACCCAATATTTTCAGGTTATTTCATTACCCTTTCAAAACTTCGAAAAGCATCTTAATTTCCTAACTCTTTCGGTCTTGTTTGTCTGTGCCAAAAGAAATACAACTTTCAATTATCAGCAGAGTTCATGATAGATAGATATATCCTCAGTTTTATAAAGATTTTTATGTTCTTTTCTCTTTCTCTCTCGGTGCGTGTCGGTGTTTTTTTTGTAGAGATTGTTTTTTTAGAACTGATATGAATGACCGAAAGAACTTGTTAAAACAAATGCACACATAATATAATACTAATATAATCTATACATTGTAGTCAATGAGTTTGTAGTAGATGATTTAATCAGTAGTCAGTAGTCTCTTTAGCAATATTAAGAATACGAAAGAAAACAAAAACTCAAATTTAAAAATTTGATCACATGTCTTTTTTCTTTTCTTCTGGCAATGTTTTTTTTTTGGTTTGATTGATTGGTTTAGTTTGGTTTGTTTTTTTCATATATAAGTTTAGTTTGTTGTAACTTTTTTAGTTCTATATTGAGTGATAGAAAATATTTAGAAATAACAATTTCATTGATATAATTTTTAACTCAAAAAGTCAATGTGTTTCATGATGTGATGCAACAGGCTTTAAACTTTTGATTTCTGGCCAGAAGCATTGACATAGTTGTTCACAGGAAGTTTTGGCCCATTTTTTTATCAAGAAAGGATCAGCAAATAATACTGTAGTCTGACCAGGTATCTGGGTAAGGTAAACTACTGGGATCTTGAAGGTTACAGGACGCGCTTTTGCAAGAGATACTTTGTACTCCCCAAGCCCAATTTGATAACTTTTTCTCAAGCTAATGTGCGCCAGATTGTGGGTCAACAGATCAACCTCAACTCATTCTCTATACGCAAAATCATTTTGGGGGCTTTGGCACTAAGATAACATGAGCTATGGACAAAACCAATACCTGGAAACCAAACAAACGCCTTTCCACAATAGCTAGGTAACACGACACAATATCTGAAAATCAATCTCTATACACATAATCAATTCTTTTAAGGCTTGGACAATAAGATATCATGAGCTATCTACAAACCCAACACCTGGAAACTAAACAAATGCCTTTACGCAAGAGTAGGGCAGTACGACACAATATTTGAGACCTGATACATAGAGAGCTATAGACCTAAGGATACTTCTTAGATGGATGATCATCACGCTAGGAAAGGAAATCGAGCAAAAGGGCCTTGATGCAAATAAGCACCTGCAAATAATCCCGACTCACTTAAAAGTATCTGCAATTGGGAACCTTTTGGTTGAATTCATCTCCTAGTGCAGTGGTCATCTATCTAGGATTGTAGGTCCAGGTTTACAGTCGTATGTTGGGTATCTGGTAATCGTATCATCTTGTCCAACATTTCCGGAATTGCATTGAGCTAGTTCGAGAAAGATGCCACCCATCTCGTACCGATCAAAAGTACAGGCTCATGACTTCGTCACGGTATTCAGAGCTAACGGGAATTGTACCAGGCAGAAGTGTGGAACTTTTTCGTTGATGGGGAATGAGTTGCTGTTGTTAGTTATCATAATGATGACTGAGTGTGGTGTGATAAGGTGTGTTCGGGTTTGTTTTTATTGCTTTGATAACTTGGGATTGGTGATTAGTGATGTTCTTTGTGTATAACGAAGGTGATTCTGATCTTATTTCGGTGAAGTTGAACGCGTTGAACAGCCTATACGAGTCTCCAGAGATCAATGACCTGAGGTGTACCCGCGGAATGTGATGATGAATACCGTCTGAAGTGTGGCACAGAACACCCTCTATTTATATGTTTTTGGACAGCACGCAGAATGCTTTTCGTCAAGCCTGAGTGGCTGCGCTCTTATTTACCTTTTACTTGATCCGTATGCTTGTCTTTTGTTCTCTATAAGAGGAGCGATTTAAATTGCAGGACGAGAGTGCGTTTGTCAATGTCGCTTACGACCATTTCCTTCCCCGGATTGCCTTCTCTTTTGTATTCTATGCTAAGCCGCATCACAATAGAAAATCTTCTTTGAGCGCGGCATCATCAGATGACTCAAGGCACTACATCTTCTTGAGGCTTTCACGTAGCGTATTGTCACCACAGTGCAAGATGAGATCATCACGATACAGAAGCTATTGTCTTGACTCACAATACTACTATAGAAAATCCAGGATTTCTCTTGGGGAATTGATGGGAGCTCTCACAAGGCTTTAATCAGCCCAACTCTACAGCATCCCATTTGAGATATGCAGGAATGGAAATTGGTTGAATATACGGATAGATAAAAATTGGCTAGAAATCTTTTGATGAGTGTTGTTTGTTAGCTGCAATGAGCAATTTATGGTCCTACACTTTTGATGTAAATGCCAACAGGCGGCACTATAGAAGACATCTTTTGAAATTCTCAACATCAATCTCTAAAACATTGTCTCCAGCTGATACGCCAGGTATCATTAATGGTCAACGGACCATTATCAAATACACATACAAAAAACTATACTCAGATCCCTTTTGGGACCTTTGAGACTAACGAAACATGAGCTGTCTACAAATGCAACACCGCATTTCGGAAAAATTACCTAAGCAACGCGCATGAATCTTGTGCGAGTGGAAACACGGGGGAGTGATTGTAACTTCATTGACCAGCAATTCCAAACAACAAGGGCATTCTTCCGTCCATAGACTTGGATCCAATGTAGTTACGTTGTCTGAAAGATCTGATGGGTAGAAGGTAGATTCATGAGCGTGTAATCGAATGTATGGACGAAATCGATACCATTCAGGTGTTCCTGGATCCGGGAAGCATTCGGGTGAGTCATGTACATCTGAATCAGGGTAGTCTTGCTTGGTCTCATCTCCTAGCATGATGATCATCCATCTAAAAAGTAAGTCCAGGTATATGGCCTTTGTTCGAGCGGCCAACAATGTGTCGTCCTGCTGAACAGTCATGGAGATGCGTTCCTCTAGTTCAAGGGTAACATCACCCACTTCGTGTCGGTAAAAAAGCAACGAGATCATATCTTTGTCGCCGTGTTTGGGGTTAGTAAAAATTTGCACGCAAGCGGTGTGGATTTTTGTCAATTGTTCATTCAGTTCAAAGATGGACAGCTGTGTCAATGAGTTGCTGATGATTGTTGGCATAATGGTTATTGTCAAGCTTGAGGAGTTCGATGTGAATCGGTGCTTCTGGGTTGATGTCTTATTGATCTGGTTGCTCTGGATTGGATTCTTTGAAATTTGGCAACGAGTATGAGATGAGTGATTGATGTTCTGGATGGGATTGTTATCAGTTTTCCAAACCTTTATACGCCTTCATCAGAGCAGCATAGCTAGACTGAGCACTTCAAGCATAATGTATTCCGTTGCTCAGTCGATAACATTTTTGTGTACATCTACTGGAACCTCACTTTTTGAGCTTTCTAACCGCATAAACCACCACGAGACGATGTCAGAGTGCGACAATTGATTATCATCACGCACAGCCTCTTGCTGAGGAAATCATCAATACTGAAGACAGCTACGCATAAGAAGTCAACATGAATCATACCTTTCTAAACTCATCTGCCAAGCGGTTGTCAATAGACTAAACGTTCTGCATTTTGACGTTCAACGTGTCCCTCATAATCTTTATGCCATCCCTTATGAACACTTTTGTCCGTGTTTCTGCCTCTATTTGCGCGAGCCAGTTACTGCTACCCGAGCTCAGGTCTTTAGATTTTCTCAGTCAAGGCCTATCATGCTCAGGCTTCGCAGCATCACTCTACCCAAAGGCTCGCGGTCACTTTTTTTAGGTCGTTCACGTCGAGACTATTGTGATTATAAAGATTCCCTGTGTGAATTTCTACATTCTTAAAATTAATTATAATGAAGTCTTGGTCTTTTCACAGGTACCAACTTATGAGGATGAGATCCCATTCTGCCGTGAGTTGGAAGGTTGAACTGATAACAGTTGTGAAAGGTAGCTCATTGAAGCTCAGCCTCTGATACCTTATCCCAAAACTTCATGGTATGGATGATCTGTCCTCTTATTCCTCATCTGCCTCTTTTCTCGTACATCGACCTCCAATTTCTCATCTTAGGAAGACTCGTGCGCTAAATCTTGAAGGCTTACACACAATGAACGTGATGAGTATCACTCAAGATATTCAAGGAATTTGGATGGTTTCAGCAACGCATCTGCGTGCCCGCCTTTGAAAATCTTCACAAAGACAAACTACCCCCTGTTCACAAACAATTTTCAAGTTTTCTATAGTTATTATGACTAACCAGCTCATAAATCGTACCTATGTATACTAGGAAAAACAAAAATGATGATCCATGACCATGACGGAAACAGCGTGGGATTTGTTTACATGCTCTGGGAATGATCACGCAGAGCCAATTTCAAATCTTCGCCAAGTGAGATATCTCAAAAATCTTCCGATATTTTTGAGATCAAAAACTGCTTCAACTTATGCTTAGCCATCCAAGAATGCTGATTCAAATCGTAGTGAAACGCTGGACTAGACTCAATCCAATCTATGGAATAACCAGGAAACCAATTATGACCAACACCTGGAGAATTATGGCTTGTTGAACTTGAAGCTGTACCAGGATTGATAGGTTCTTGAGGAGTGGGATTCTGCGAGTTGGAAGTTTGATTGTTTTTGCGAAGGATTGAGTATTGTCTCAGAATTTTCATACCACCAGGATGCTGTCCGCTAGAGGAGTACAAAGTAACATCATAAAGATTTCCATCAATGAATAAGATGACCATTTTTTTCAGCTTTTCTTTGATTATTTGCTTTTTGACCTCCACTTCTGCTCCAAGATCTCCGGACAGAAGATATTCACGTAAGTGCACGAATATATTCGACTTGCTCCAAATTGGGATTTCCTGGTGGTGACCTCCGCCTTTGGAATAGTATTCGTAACCTTCATCTTTGCATAAGAAGTCAATCACCGATCTCTTCGTACTCTCAAGTTGATCTTGAATGTCCGGCTCTTCGTGTGTAGATGAAAGATTTAATCCTGATCTGAATGACTTTTTCCTTTGCAAAGATGGAACATCTGCAAATCTCACCCTTAATTGACGCTCTTCTTTCTCTGAAAACATGTCAGGTGACACAGAATTCAAAGATTCTTGGTGATCTTTGTTTGGTTGACGTCGATTTGAGAGGCTGTTGAAAGATAGCTCAAAACGCGGCTGGTCTTGGATGCTTGATGAGATTGAAATATCACTGGCTAGTGTATCATCCTGCTTTCCCTGTCCAAGTTGGTTATGAGTAATCGGCCAATGCTTTCCGGTGAGGTTTTGCAGGATTTGAAACAACCAGCTTTCAAAACCGGTCAATTGTCAGCGGTAAGTCAATCCACGCCCAAGAAACAAAAAACAATCACTTTTTTAGCTTGCAAATTGGTGTTGGCTTGGGGTTGCGCCCTACAAAGCAAAGGTGAACGTCAGCCAGATGTAATGTTTGGAGGCTATGGAAATCCAAGACAAACAGATTGGCCAGGGGTTGAAAATTTTCCATTTTGAACTGAGATTCCACTCACCAAGTATGGATTCCAGCGAGACACGAAATTTGCATATCTCTCCTGCACACAATTTTAAAAGATCCCATACCCCCTTCAATGCCAAAATACCCTATGTAAACCAATCACTCAGCACACTGTAGATAGATATCATTCTGTGGATTTTTGGAAAGGACTTACAGATTCCCAAGATGACCACCATTTTTCTGTATGTTCTAATGCAAGCTCTTCTTTGAATCTTAAATCATTAGGGGAAACCAACTCGTTGCTGGAACCCGAGCTGGATGATAGACTACAGAGGCCTGAGGAGTTAAACATTTCTCCTATAGTGGCAGCACGAAACCGGTTGATGTTGAGGCTGATAAAGTATATTGCCAGTCCGAGAACCGAATGAAGGCTATCTTTGTAAATAATGATTGACAATGGTTTATATCAGATCCCTTAATATATAAAGTATTGTTAGAACAATCAAGGCTGGGTTCATTGGGGATAATCTGACAATTGCGCCACTCGGCTTTTATCGATTTATAGATATTCGAAGACTTGAAACCTCTCGTGATGGTCCCAAAGGATCTGCTGTATTGATGTGCATCAACATGATATCTTTACCTCAGCGTCGGGGAAGGCGGATGAGCTGAAAACATACCAGGTAGTGGGTGAATGAGAATGTGGGTCCAAAGGAGATTAGGAGTCGTGAACCTTACGCTAAGAGTCCTTTGCTGGCTTTGGCATCGGGCGGGTTTTGACTGTTTTGACCGTTGGTGTCCGCTAGGTCAAATGACGAAGTCCCTCTTCTCAGCGATCACCTCGATAGTGTCAACTTAGAAGTTCCTGGCAATGAGGAGAACTTTTTGAGATAGGCAAGTGTCCGGATTGTCACTTCTCTGTATGTAGTATGCAGATTCCAGAAACCTGATCCTATCCTCTCGATCGACACTCTTGATTTTTAGCATGCCAATGACGAAAAGCGTTTCAAAGCTAGGAAGCTCCGAATCGCCAAAGATGCAAAACTCGAAAAACGAAGAGAAGAAAGACAGTCTTAATTCCTCCATCGATCATCTCGTCATATGAGAAACGGTTGCAAGAAACGGGTACTTTGGTCAACATGCTTCTGATAGAGAATTCGACAATCGAAGTCTAGGAGAGTCAATGTTCCTGGTCCCACAAGCATTCAACGTAAGCACCTCCTCTCCTTAGTCTCAGGTGATAGGTGTGAGCTGATTACTATCCAACATTTCGAGGAAGCAGACATCAAGAGCTAGAGTAGCGACTCAGTCTCACATCGAGCAATCAATTTCAGCAACTCGTCATGAGTTCCATGACTGTTCACCTTCGATTCTGACGGCCACGAGTCCCTTGATCCAAAGATATCCAACTATTTCAGGAAACGTTGTCCAGCGATCGATGAAGCATACACCATCGATCAATTCGCGCCGAAATACTATGCAAAATCATAGATAAAGCCCGAGTTCTAACTTCTGGAAGACCTTGATACCATTCACGTCCATATTCTACATCTGAAAAAGTGGCTTGAGCCATTCAGTTTATCAGTCATAGTAAGTGCACTCCAGAAGCCTGGTCATGTAGTATTCGAGATCTCGGCGACTGATTATGTTCCAAATATTCCCATTGCAGTTCGCGGAGCCATCCCGCAATAGCTAGCTTTATGACCGCAAATAATCGTGGCCATCGTGAAGGAGCTCTCGAGGTGACTAAATCATCAATCGAGGGAAAGCTCAATCCTATAGCAAATGGAAAAGCTGGCACAGATCTCAAGAGTCGGAACCAATGCTCAGCTCAAGTCAGCCCAGTATGGTCAGCACTCACCGTGATTTTGGTGAGTCTCTCTGACTTGAAAATGATGTACTAAAAAACAATCCTAGACGGGATCGAACCAATACTTTACCCTACTAACGGTTTGTGCTGCTTGTCCACTTTCCTTTCCAAATCTAATCCCATCTCAGATGTCGGTTGTACACGTAGCTACGATCTATGGCGTAGTTTTCGTCTCACCTATTCATAAGGTTTCGAAAGCTACTCTGTTCCTATGCCTCATGGGCGGCCTCCTTGGAAGCTTGGGCATCACCATGGGCTATCATCGCCTCTGGTCGCATCGTTCATTTGTCGCCTCCGAACCATTACGGTGGTTTCTAGCGCTGTCAGCTCTCTTTGGCTTGCAAGGTTCTATCAAGTGGTGGGTTCTTCGACATCGCTTACATCATCGCTTTACGGATTCCGATGCAGACCCGTGAGATACCACTTATATTCCTACCTGACTAAATTTACTGCGCGTGAGTCATTAGAATCTGACTAGGATTTTATTCATCCTGAGACATTAGATACAACGCCAAGCGTGGATTGTTATTTTCACATATAGGTTGGATGCTTTATAATCCGCGATATGAAAAACTCAACCTTATTGATCGGAGTGATCTCGAGAACGACCGAGGCAAGTCTCTTCTTGACCATACCCTTAAAACTGTGTCCATCCACAGCCCTTACTTACACGTGCAACCTTGATAATCTTGGAACCCATAGTGGTGGTGCTTCAGCATCGATATTATGTACCACTCGGGTATTTCATGGGATTCGTGCTGCCTTACCTGGTTTCGACGTATATTCTTAAATCAAATCAACATTCCAAGTGGGATGGTCTCATTTGGGGTGGGTTTGTAGTGAAGCTATGGGTATGGCATAGTGCTTTTACAACCAATTCTTTGGCGCATTACCTTGGGAAGCAGCCTTTTAATTTAGACCTAACGGCGAGAGGTAACTTCTGGTTAGCTCTTCTTACACTTGGGGAAGGAAACCATAGTTGAGCATTTCCCAGTTTTATACCTTTTGAATTATTTCATGGAGCTTGAGGTCTTGGTTCCTGAATTGTCTTTTCCTTATATTCGACTCAGACTTTCATCATCTGTTTGCCAAGGATTATCGCAGTGGCCCTGCTAAATTTGATTGGGATCCCACAAAGTACTGATCTTCATCTTAAATCGCCATCAATTTTGAAGTTTAACGCTGACTCCCAAATCACTGGAACAGGTGGATCATCTATTTCTTATATAGATACACCAACTTGGTGACCAAGATTCATCGCACGCCTGAATCGGAGATCGAGTACGCTAAGAAAAGAGTGATCGAGATCACGAGTCAGAAGAAGGATCCTAGCAATTCAGGTGATCAAGACTTGAGCGACTTCCTTTCTTTCGATGATATACTTGGTTTGAATCCAGATCTTCGAGTTGAAGGGAAAGATAAAGTCCTTACCAACAAATCGAATCATTGAGTGCAGCATGTGATTTCAGGATTGTCGAGAACCAAGACCAAGACCGTTTGTTTTTGGTCAAATGTCATATCCCTATAGAAAAGAAGGATGAAATCAAAGATAATTAATCTTTTGCAATACGTTGAACTTGATGGTAATACGTCAGCTCAACACTTCATTCTTTCATCACAAGTTGATCCATAACTTGTCGTCCCTCCTGATCATGTACCCGTTGAATCATCAATGGCATGCAAACGCATCTATGGCACCATTACATGCATGATGGCTCTCACAAGCGTTTGTATTGTAATTCTGACGGAAGATTCTTTAGGGCTTGATGTATCAGTCAAAGCTTATCTGAATCTACGCATCTTTTCCAGGATTGTCACTTAGATGGAATCCATACAATAATGAAGTGGATTCAAAGCAAATTTCTAAGTATAGATGCTCATCCATTCTACATTTTCTCGGTAAGCTAAAAAGTACTTGTTGGTGGTCCTGGTCATGAGTCACTCAGATAAGGTTATAAATTTAACAGAAGATCGAGTATTGAACACAAAGTCAAAAGACAAGGAAGAATCTGGATCACGAAGTGATCCTTTAACACTGCGAATATAATGTATTTTTCCGAGGTGAAAAATGATTACATTTATTTCACAAAATGATTAAAAATGCATTAATTCTGCATTAATTCTGCATTTTTCTGCATTAATTCTGCATTATTAATCATTATGTGCATTAATGTCAATCATTTTTCACCTTGGAAAAATACATTATTTTTTCAGTGTAAGCGCATTACACATAGAGATGTGTTCTACTCAGATGCGCATTAGGTTATGTTTCTCTTCTTACTTCATGACACATTGTTATGTTCAATAGGCACAATCTCTGACAGATATACAAGAATCCTCTCATACATTGTTTTTCTTCTTCCCTATTGAACTCAACCTTTTGTTGTGCTACAATCTTCCTTAAAATGTTTTTCTTTTGATCATCCCGTGTCTTCCATCAGTAAGACCAAGTCTGATTTTAATCCACTTCAGGGAAAGAAATCAACGAATACATTCAGTTGTTTGGTTATGAGCCCAGCGCTCCACTAAGAAGCGCAAAACCTCCAAATTTTTGATAAAATTTTCATCAACCAATATGGCCGACACCTCTAACTCATCTCGAGTTCACTTTCCAAAACTCGCTAAAACCAACTATGTCAAATGGGCAGGCGACGTTGTTGCCCATCTAATGACGTGCAACCTTGAGGAGTTCATCAACATTGACTCCCCTCCGGTGGCGCCTGTCAAATCTACCAATATCAATCCTACGGTCCAAATCACACCGTCACTGCTAAAAGAAAGAAGGCAGCTGGTATACTCTTTGGTTGCATTGACCAAGATACCCGCATTTGCATCATGGCGAAAGATGCTGTGTCAGACCCTGTGAAGATTTGGAAGATTCTGAAGGAACACTTCCAATTGTCCTACACAAAGTTGATTCTGGAACTTTTCCACAAATTTTCCAGAACTGCCCCAGAACACAGATTTGACTGTGTTCTGGACTCCTGGACTTATGAAAAACAGTACATGTTTGAAAGCCCTTTTGCCCAGGGTGCAGAAGCATTCTGGCTTTCTGAAAAATGTTCTGGAAATTTTGTGGAAAAGTTCCAGAATCAACTTTGTGTAGTATAAATCTTTGTCTGACGAGAATCAAGCTTGGGCATCTCTTAAATTCACCGACGTTGTTTGCACTGACCTTGAGTCCTACATCACTGAGACTCAACACGCACTAGCCGTACTTTTGGCTGTTGATGGTCGTCAACATATTCACGAGAAGTTTGTTGGTGAAAACCATTGTCACCAAACTTCCTACCACAATGGACATCACCAAGACCTTGCTACGCAAGGATCACCCATTAACTTTGGAAAAGGTCATTACTTATCTCAAAGCACAACTTGTCTCCATCAGAGATGAAGAACTTCATTCTGGTGCGGTCCCACTAGCGGTACACCAACCACGATTGTTACAACGATCATCCACTCAACGTCCTCTGACTTTCAATCGTCCTGCTCGCCCTTACTGCTCCAATGGACGTCACAATCCGGAGACTAAAGGACACACTTTACAACAGTGTTATCAAGCAAATCCGAGTCTACGTCCCGCCCAAGCTGGATCAAATCAACCCAAGGCTTTGGTCGCAACCACCAATGACTCTTTCTTTGGTGCACAAGCCTTTGTGGTAACTGCAGAAGACCACAATGCCATCCTCCTGGAAAGCGGGTGCTCACACCATATGGCGCCTGATCAAAATCTCTTCAAGAACTATCAAGCTGTCAGCTCAAACGTCAATCTCGCCAACAGAGCGAACATCCAAATCGCCGGCAAAGGCACCATCACCTGCAACTCGGGTGATTACAAAATCATTCTCCAAGCTCTTCACGTACCTGAACTAGGATGCAGCCTTGTCAGGATGGGAGCTCTGTTAGTGGACGGCTACGACCTTTGAAGCTACGTCAACGACGTGACCATGAGCAAGACTGGTGCTGGTAGTCTTGTAGGTCATGTTCAAAACCAAGTGATTGAACTCGATGTAACCTTAGGCACGTCACTCATCATTCCAACTCCTCGTGTCAACATCACCATCTCTGACTATGACGTACTTCACAGACAGGGAGGTCATCCCAAATCCCCTTGCCTTAAAATGATGTACGACGTGAGTGCACCTGATGACTGGCACTGTGAGATTTGCAAGTTATCAAAAGGTCATCAACTCCCTTACTCTGGTCATTTTCCATCTGCGAAGCATCCATTAGACATTGTTCATAGTGATTTGAGTGGAAAGATTTCTGTACCTTCTGTTGGTGGTGGTCTCTATTACTTTAAGCTCACCGACGCATGTACAAACTACAAACATGTCTTTGTCATGAAATTGAAATCCAACACTTTATCCTGTTTTCTTCAATACAAAGCTCTCGTTGAAACTCTTCACAATAAGAAAATCGTAAGTCTAGTGAATGACCAAGGAGGTGAGTATATGACTAAACAATTCCAAGAAATCCTCAAAGACAATGGCACCACTCAACATCTAAGTGCTCCATACACCCCTCAACAAAATCCGGTCTCAGAACAGGGTAATCGTACCACAACTGAAAAAGCCAGGACCCTACTGCAACAGTCACACTTACCCTACACCTTCTGGGCCGAAGCTGTCATGACAGCTGTTTTTCTTGAAAACATCACACCAGCAAGAATAACAAACAACAAGTCAGCTTACAAACTATGGTTTGGTAGGTCCTTTGATTACTCCAGGCTGAAACCTTTTGGTTGTCGAGCCTATGTATTGATTCCAAAGCAGTTCAGGCGGAAATTTGACATGACATCCAGTAAGGGGATCTTCTTAGGCTATCAAGTCGGAATGAAGAACTATTGAGTAAGGCTCGGTGACGGTCGGATTGTACCAACACACAAACCGAACCGCCGTGAAATACAGGCGACGGTACGGTACGGTACGGTCTAGACACCGTAGGCTACGGTACGATAGACTACGGTCCGACCGTACCATAGTGTGGAAAACCCCGAGGAGTATGGGGAGGGTACCATACCACAGTCACCGTCTTTGGAGTGTACACCACCGTTGTTCGGAGTGGGACTACGTTCACTCCGGTATTACTCAGCCTCACCTTTATCAATTCCAAGATGGTAAGAAGCCAACGATTCTGTCAACATTCTTCCCGATTGAGATGGTATCATTTCAAACACGCAAGGGATGAAATTAAAGCAAGGGGTAGGATACCGCTGGTTTGTAATCATATTATTTCTTTCTTCCATTTTTTCTCTCTTCCCATATTCCTTCATCGTTTCTATTTCTTCCTCTATCACATATTTTATCAACCTTTCCATTCTTTAATTGGCTGATTTGATGTCTTCCAATTTATCTGTCCCTAAGAGCTCTCAGACTCAACCCCCTGAATCTTCCCAGTCTTGTTCTCGCCAATCAACTCGTGTTAGCCCTCTTCGTTGCAATACTGGTTATGTTCCCACTTCGTCCAACTTGCGTAGGTCATTATCACTACCAGCATAAAGCAATTTTCCCAAGTAAAAAATGAATACATTTTGAGCAAAAAATGATTGAAAATGCATTTGATCAGCATTAAATCAGCATTATTCAGCATTAAATGAGCATTTTTGATTCAAAATGCATTAAATGTAATCATTTTTTCCTTGGGAAAATTACCTTTTGCTGGGAGTGTATATGTACCCAGTGATGCAGATGAAAACAACTCTTCCGGTGGCGACAAGGATCCAGAACTTGAAGAAGACAAAGTTTCAGAACATCATACCCCAACTTGAGCTCCTGCCCCTCAATCAAAGAAACACCCAGCCCAATTGCATCCCGTCCAACCTTCCCAAGCCAAAAAGGCTCAAAAGACCGTAGCCAAAGGTAAAGGTCGGGCAACAGTGACAGTAAGCAATCACAAACTCATTGTTGTTCACTTCATCACTATGTTTTTTTTCCTTATTGATGAATCATCTTATTTTATCGGCTTCTTCTCAGCTTTACAG